AAATTTTAAATTATAGAGAAATAGTAGACGATTTATTGATAAACTATTCAAAAATAGGTAAACAGTACATTTTATAATTTTATTATTTTTTGAATAAAAGAAACATGTATATTTTTAATTTTATCGGAAATAGGGGTGAACATGTCATTGAAAATACATTTTCTTCATGCACACTTAGATTTTTTCCTGAAAATCAGGAAATGAAAGCGATGAGCATGGTGAACGTTTTTATCAACAAATAAATGATATAGAATGTCGTTACTATGGGTTTTGGGATGAAATAATGATGGGTGACTATTATTGGTTTCTTATAAGAGAAAACAATGAAACATGTAAAAGAAATATTAAGACTAATGCGTCCTATTTTTAATTAAATAAAAATTATTCTTTGGTTATCATAAAACTAATTACAAAAAATATAGTGAAAATTATAATTGTTTTCTTTTTTGTAAAACTTAATTATTTATTTTATCGATTATATGTTAAATTTACTATATTTAAAATAATTTTTTAAATCCATGCAAAAACAATTTCAATTTTATTAATTCTATAGAAAATTACTTAATATTTTTAGAGAATTATCATTTTTTTTTAAATGCGAAAATTTATCACAACCCCACCAAACTGTATAATTAACTCAATTTAAAAATGTCCCAATAAAACTATATGAAATAACCTTAAGTTATTTAAAAAATCGAAATTTTGTTTTGAAAAGTAGTATTGTGAGTAATTTTCCTATATTTTATAAAAAAAATTATAGCATCGAATTAGAAAACTCTGATTTTAGGAAATTTGTTTTATTTTTCAATCGCGCATAACTTCTTCATTTTTTTATCAATTTTACAAAATAATATATCATTTTCTTTGTTATGTATTAGAGTATGACGTCTATTGAAATTATTGTTGATAAATTTATTTTTTATTGGTGTATTTTACGTAAAACTCTGAATTTTTTCTGTCATTTTGAAAAAAATGATAAAAATTCAGTGGTAAATTCGTGGATAGCAAACGACAAAAAAGTCAAATAAAAAATTGTTTAAAATAAAAGTTATAGGTAATTTAATATTGTTTAATTTTATGTAAAAAAAATGAAAATCGGTTAAATGCAATTAAAGATATTAAGAATATAATGAAAACGTTTTTTCGCGGTACACGAAAAACGCTAATTTCACAATAACTCAAAAACTGTTCTACTTTTTGTATTTTGGACTTCATTTTCGGACTCAGTGGACGATTTTACATAAAAAATGACTATCATAAGTCATAGGTCAGAAAATTTTTTTTTATTTGTAAACTAGTGTAATCAACATACAGACTAATTAAATTTTAAAGCCGTTACTATCGAATGTTATTATTTATAATACATATTATAATTATTAATCAGTGATATATAACTGCCAAAAGAAGTTGTAATGTAAATTATCTAGACATCTCGAAATTAATTTAAATATGATATCTAAAAATCACCTCTAGATCTTTACATAACTTTAATGTTAGCCCGCTTGAGTTCTATGCGGAGTTCCGTAATATTAAAGTAATAACTATATGATGTCGAATAGAAGATTTGATAAAAAGTTCATATTCTTAACATATCTCAACCTGTCATACCAGTTATATTGTGGTAGTGTTGACTGGCATAATTTGTTATTAATGTAAGGAAGTGTAATAATTGCAATTCAATTTGTCTTCAATTATTCATGACAAATTGTATTTTGTTTGTACCTTTAAGAAAATCTTTACGTAGCTGTCAATAAATTCAATGAAATCGATAGAATGATATTTGTGCTGTTAAGTAACATGAATTATTTATTCTATGGTATTTTTAATAATCAAATAGACGTTACTTGAAAATGAGAAGGTTATGATTCAAATATTTTTTTCAAAAACATTGTATTTTATAAACATGGTATTTTTCTACTTTATCATGTTCTTTGATTCCAAATTTATTTACTTACTTACTTAAAATAGATGATAACTATAAATAGGGTTATTAAAAACATTTTTTTTAAAAAAAACCTGTTTAAATCATAAATAAACAATTTAAAACGTCCCATAAGATCAAAGTAAATTTTGACATTTTTGGTGTTTTAAACAAGCAGTGTTTAAAACGTAACAGCTCTGGTTTAAATTACATTAGGAAAAGTTTTGTGAATAAATTTCCTTATAATAAATAAGTATACAGAATAGTCCATTATTTTTTGACAAAAAAAATAATTCTTGATCTACTAAATATTAGGCATTACTTTTTATTTTATTTTTATTATAATTATGCATTATAAACGGCCATCGAAATAATATATTTTTGAAATTATTAAAAAGAATAATTCTGTTTAAATTTGTGCGAAAAGTAAAAAATATATATTTAGTTTCGAAAAAGTTTTCTATATAAAACACAATTATGAAATCAATATTTATCAATTTTTTTTTTTTTTTGAAGATTAGATATGATACATATGATAAATATAAAAATTTCTTTTGTTAAAAAAATCAATTACTACTATTTTAAATTTTAAAATAAATAGTACTTACCATGTTGCAATGTATTGCTTTTTAAATATGCAATTGGTCAATAAATATCTATATTTCTTAAACTATATTTGTTAATATAACAATAACAATAAAATGTATAATTAAAACATAATCTATTTTGTATACATTTAATATCAATTTTGAATTATTAATAATTATTTATAATGAACAGTGAATTTTCCTTTCTTTTTTCTCCGACGTTGAATATCAGTTTTCTTGAAGTCATTTTGTCCAAATTTAAGGTTTATTTAATGATATTAACTAAACGTCATATTTACTTTAATGAAATTGAAAAGTAAAAAAAATTATTTAATTGCACTTTTATTATTTTAAGTTGAAGATGTTCTTGCATACATCAATTTAATTTAATTTAAATATTAACTTATTGTATCAATTTAAGTAAAACACATATTTTAAACACTTTAAAATTATTAAAATTTTAACTAATTTAAATAAAATAAGAATCAAATGATGATGTTGTTAAATAGATCAACAAATAAAATTTTTTTACAAATGCGCGCATTTCATCTCTTCGTTAAAATTTCAGCTATCCGATTGAATTCATTGTAAACTTAATTGACCAAGATATTTGTATGAAAATAAATTACTATTAGTTTAATTAAATATTAAAATATTTATTAAATAAAAGTATATTTAAGTTAATTTAATTTGCAAATTGTTAAGCTTGATTTATTTGTTTTAATTTATAAAAGTTTAAATATATTTTGTTTTTGTCGTATGATAGTATAAAATTTATCACAATTTAAAATCAAATAAAATGAATAAGTTAAAATTTTGTTCTTTTAAATTATAATGCTAAATGAGTAGAAATTACACGATCCATCTCCGGCTGTTAATAGTAAGCTTCAAGTACTTACGTCCAACATCATATTATTGTTTGGTGTTTTAACTTTTTCTTTACTTACGTAGTCTTACTGGTCTTAATGTAAATAAACTCTTGTACTTGTCGAAGCTGAACCGTTTGCTACGACGATGCAAAAACATCTGAACTAAATTGCCAACTGCATTTTGCTTGTTGATGACTACCCTAACTTACAGCGCGCTTGACGTCACATAAGGCGATTTGAGCATGGCTAAGAGGAATAGAGACCACCTCCCTAACTTGCAAAGTGGGTGGTTCACAAATCTGAGGAAATTATTCAATCACCATAAAGTCAGATAAAAATGAATAAATGATAATTCTATATTTATGGTAAGTATATTTATTATTGCATCTATTAATTGCATCCCTTTAGTTTTAGAAGATACAAATCCATGTTTATAATGGTATATCTACCATTTAAAAGACTCACAAAAAATGAATTAATAATTTTAGAAAAAAAATCTAGTATAATATGACTTAGTAAAAATAAGTATACATTAAATCGACAATAATACGTTAAATGCTCAAAAAAATGTTAGTTTCGAATGTGAATATAAAATTTAGGTTTTTTCTATTAAATTGTTTTAACTTAAAAACAACTTTAAATTATTTATTCAATACTTATAAAAAGAAATTAAAGTTCAAAAAAATAATGATATATCGTGACAAATCGTAAGACAACTTTTTGAAAACTTGAAGTACATTACATAAGCTTTAATTTTATATAAATTATTGAACACGGTATATGATCAATAGTCAAAAGGATTTACACGCGTTTGTTGCTTTAATTAAAACCTTCAAAAAATAATAGCAATAATCAAATTTTCAAAAACAATACAGTCAAAGATATAGGGGTCGGCCTAGCCTAGTGGGTAGAAACGTATGTTTCAGCAAACGGGGTCACGGGTTCGATCCCCAAGGAGCCAACGAGATTTTTCTTGCGATTTCTTCATTGGTGGTGCAAGCCGGCCATAATATCTGTCCCATCTATCTTTGACTTAGCCAAGAATCATCATTGACTTGTAATCCAAGGAAACTCTAAATACAATGTTTTTTCAATTATCTATAGTACCTTTGTTAATTTGCCTTATTCAAGATCTCAATACTAATTATTAAAGGAAAACGATCTAATAAATAGTAAAATATTTTAATTATACAAATTTATCTTAAACAATCTAAGTAAATATTATTATTTTAAATTATATAATGAAAGCAGTAAACAATTTCTTTAAACACAAGTTAACTTAATTATTTGACTACTGGACAAAAATATATAATACATAACAGAATATCANAATATAATACATAACAAAATATCAATAATCTTAACGATAACGTATAATACATGGATTACATATGAATACATAATGTCCAGAATTGTTTTCGAAGATATTAAATAGTTACGGGTACCGAGTCTTAAATTGACTGCATTTATATACATTATTCTTCAGTTTACGCAGAGTTTTTTTACGTGCGTTAGATAATTTGAAATCTAAAATAAAAAAATTGTTGAGTTTTCAACGAATAAACTAATAATATTATAGATACCCGATATAATGCATTTAACTGCCAAAGGCGCGTGTTTCATATAAAACNGAATGCATTTGACTGCCAAAGGCGCGTGTTTCATATAAAACGTTTCCAATCTACGCAGTTCAGCTGATTACAGAAATCGTTTCTCCCCAATCGATTAAATTAATATTATAAAATTGACTTCCATCCACACTATTTTCAACACCAGTACAAACTCCTCTATACCAGTTACCGTCACCTAAATTAAAATAGATATATTAAGAAGAAAATAATGGAAATTTTTTTTTTTTTTTGGTATAATATTTCTCAATTAAAGACAATGTTTGAATAATATGAGTTATGATGCACCCCATATGAAAGAAAAAAGGTACTAATAAATTATTTTAATTGATTAATTAAATGTCCATCATAAATCCGTATGATGTTTATTTATCTTCATAGTATTTTAATAATTAAAATTGTTGATTACTATATTTAACGGCACAAAGTTCATCACGTCGTGGTTTAAAATTACAATCTTGTGTATGTTTATAATATACATTCATAATATTTTCCATGGTTCTTATTATTTGTTCATTTTTGACTCTTGTCATGCGAAAAAAATCTGCTTGACAGTACAGCACTCTCATGCTATAATCATAATTATTTCTTAACTGAAGTTGAGGAACATTATCCAGAGTATAGAATTGTAGACCATTGTCGACCTGAGATCCGTTCTGCTTGTTCACTACACCTTCATTCTATTAAATAGTATTATTATTATTTATTTATTAATATAAGTCCTCTCTAAAAAAACTATGCTTGATAATAAAAGTCTAACATTAAGAACTAAAGTGCTCAGTATTAGTTAAATAGAAAAAAATTGAATATATGATTTTTAATTACCAAGTATGTTTTATTAAAGTCCTCTACAGCATTTGACCAATCATACACCGCATCTACTAAAATATAAATTAAAATATTTACAATTTTCTTTTTACTATCATAAAATATAACCTATAGGTACATTTATAAATAACAAATTATAGAAATTTAACACGTCTATTTGAACGTATTCCTGAACTAANTCACGTCTATTTGAACTTATTCCTGAACTAAATAATTTATGAAAAAATAAATGATTGTTGTCACAATTAAAAATAAAATATTAAATAAATGTTTTCTTTATATAAATTCAATATTAATCATTGAAAATTATATATGTTTATTCAATTTTAAAGTAAACATACCTTCTTTAGATGCTTCTAAAGGAAACGAAATACATGACTTCAAATCATGTTCTATAATTTCATCAACTAATGTGATATTTCTATTAGAAATTTGTTCAAATTTACCTTCAGTGGTTATGTGTTTTTTTGTCACATACGGTTCAGTCTTTTCTTGAGCGTCATTAAGTGTCGTTGAAGGATTAATTACTTCCTCAACGCAATTATTTANTCATCAAGTGTCGTTGAAGGATTAATTCCTTCCTCAACGCAATTATTTACTAAATAAAATTAGTAAAATTAAAAAATTGTTTTCATACTTGTAAATTAAACGTACCTTTTAAAGATAATTCCTTTATAGTGTCTAAAATGGGCTCATTTGTAGTAGGTATGAGACAACACTGAGAACCAGTGTGCATATAATTTTTTAATATTGACATTGAATCATGACGCTCGTGCAAAGATTTTTTATTTGAAATAATATTTTCTAATGAGACGTCAGTTTGTGTTTCACAATTTAATGAATTCAGTAAGGACAATTCTGTTTGTGTCTCAGACACATTAAACATAAGTTTAATATTAGTCTGAGTAAGTTTCTCAGAGGTTAATAAAGATGTCTGAACTGCAATGTCTTGAACTTCCTTATTCTGTGACTCCAAAATATGTGCTTCTGGAACAGATTTTATTTGACCGTTTATATCATCTGTCAATTTGTTTGTTTGTGTTCCATAATCTACTGAGATGACTAAATAAAATACGAATTAATAACATAAATAAAAATTATAATGACTATAACACGTAAGAATTAATCATAAATAGAGAAAATAAATTTAGCAAACGTTCAAATGTGCATAGAATTACCATTGCGTTTTTTCNGAAAATAAATTTAGCAAACGTTCAAATGTGCATAGAATTACCTTTGCGTTTTTTTCTTAACCCAAGTTTCTTCTTACCAATTCTTATTATTCGTGTAATAATATTAACCATTTTGTATTAAAAATTATTGATTTACTTAATTAGATCGAAACCGAAAATCAACATCATTTATAAATATATAAATGGTTGCCATGGAAATGTTTTTCAAACCAGAAATACTGCTACAATTACAATATGATAATCTTTTTCTTTATTAATTAATAGCTCACAAAAACACTGCATATAGTAAAAACCATCAATATTTTCAATATTTAGTTTACCTACCTTCAACTCACTAAATAATTTATTTGAAATTGTCATTCAACTGACTATTTAAAAATAATTATGGCTCTTTGTTATTAAATTTTAATTATAAATCGATAGATATTTATGAGTTTATTTAAAGTTTACCATGGACAAACAATAACTATGATTTATTCATTATAATCAATAAGTTCATAGGAAGATGAAGATTTTTCGTAACTAACTAACATAATTAATAATTAAATTTGTTTGATATCTGTAAGTATAAAAAATGAACAATAAAATAATAATCCCATTTTTGATTTATATAAATAAAAATATTCATAACTTTAAATTGTTACGTTAAAAAGATCTTGGTAATCTCCAAAATGTTTTAATACATGTAATTCTTTATTAAAAATTATCTGTGTAAGAATGTAAGTTATATTGTTTTTTTTAATTTAAAAATAATTTTAATATCATCAAATTATGTAAAAATATTAAACAAATTTGTTTTTTTTTTCGATTCAATAATAATTCAATAAATTAATTATCACTTAATTATTAATTAGTAATTATCTCAAAAATTAAATATGACCAACAAAATTTGGTGTTAGATTTCGAATTAGCGTCAAATGTCTTTACAGAATTAATCTATACGTTGTGGTTAACAAAATAGCTGTTACTGTATGTTATTTATCTGTTTTAATACTGATTGTTTAAACTCTCATTACTCTCAATTGTCCTTGTATCACCAATAAAATATAATTATATTTCAAGCACGTGTTCTTCTAGGAGGTCCTATGATAGATTGTATATTTGAACGTCCAGTGTAATTTTATAATGCGCGAATAGCGGTTTATATATTGTTCCATTAAGTGTGTAAGTAAATATTAGTTCAAAGTGCATAATGTACGGAATGTTATTAGAAAGTGTCCAACATTTTATTCAGGTATTTTAAAAAAACATAATACCAATAATATTAACTGTAAAATGTTCATAGGAGTAGTAATACTTGAAGAATTTGTAACAAGATTGTATTTACTTTGCTTGCGATAAGAATGGGATTTGTTAGGTATTTTTATTATGGAAAGCTCAATTTGACCTATTTGTTCACTGGTATTTGTTTGCTAGTCAGAGTGTTTGTCTCTTGTAATTTTCTTCCTGTACCCTTGAAAATGAATGTAGACATTACTGAGAAATGTCATCGACGAGTTTATATAAAGGAAATTCTCAAGATTTATGCGTAGTTATACGTAGAAATTTCTTGGTAAATTTTTTTTCTTATGTACCTTCAACACTTCGTCTAATTTGAAATATCCTAGATTATGTATTCTATTTGTAATTCGAACCACAGTTTTTTGACGTGACTGAAATTTCATTATAATGCAATTGCTTTCCATTTGATTAACGAATAAATAATATGTTATTGTACACTATACGCGTGTCAATAAATTCTATGAATGTTATAATAACTTTTATTTAAATAAAAAGATAGCCATCAGGTTAAGAAAGGAATAAGTTATAAGAACAAATACTTAATTATTACTCAATGAAAAATTATTAGATTTTTTTTAACCTGGATACTGAAAAGTGGTATTTTTTTTTATGTTGATATATATTCATCAATATTTCTATTTGATTTTAGCTTGAATATGGAGAAAATGCTTGGCGTCAAGTTGTTCGTTTGGCTAAATGTAAATGGTATGAGTTTAATACGCATCATATTTATCCGGATACTTTGATACCTCAACTAGCAGAAGCTGCTGCTCGACTGTTAACTGATCCAGAAAATCAAGAAAACAAAGAACCTACAGCTGAATGTTTTATGAGATACTTCGGGAGGTGTTTTGTGAGGTTCTTCAGTAACTTAGGATATGACGCACCAATCAGAGCAACTGGACGATATTTCTGTGAGTTTCTTAAAAATGTAGATAATCTACACTTACAAATGCGGTTTTCTTATCCAAAAATGAAGAGTCCATCTATGTATATGTCACACGTCGACCGAAATGGATGTGTACTTGTCTATAGAAGTACCAGACAAGGCTTCACACAATATTTTATGGGTAATTGTACATTTTATTTTTTATAATTTAAAGATCATTGCAAAAATATTAGAGATAAAATATATATTTTACGTAGGATCCAAAATAATTGCGTTAATATTGATTTAGTACTTTGAAAATTCTACGAGTTTGATAAAAGTTATATTTGGTTGAAAAATATCTCAATATAATTTAAATTTTTATATAAAACGATCCATTTATTTTTCTGTAATTTGTTATTATTGGTCAATAATTCGGTTAAAATATAAAATAATTAATAGAACGCAATATATTACATTTAAATTAATTATTAATTTAAATGATTTTTCATTTAATGAATTATTTTACAAAATTAATTAATAGGTCAATTAGATGAAATCGCTAATGATGTGTATCACACAAACCTTAAAATACGTATCCTCCAAGAAGAATACACTAGTGCTTCACAAATGCCGACTGGCTGTCAAAATATTCTTGTAAAGTATAGATTAGAATTTGACAACAGTGCATACATCGACCAAAATGCTGCTGTGTATGCATTTGATAGACTCCAATTACCATCTATACCTATAAGTGTATTGCTGCGGTTGTTTCCGTTCGGTGTGGTTATTGGTCGAGATATACGTATTATGGATGTCGGTGAAAAATTACTTGGTGTATGGGGTTTCACATTGGAAGATGTACGTGGTCACCTGCTGGTTGAACATTTGATTCTAAGAAGACCTAGAGACATACCCTTTACCTGGACTAACGTAATTAATAACTAGTTTATCAACCTAATCAGATGTAAGGTTTAATTTCTTCAGTTACTTATTGATGACATATGGTAGATAACAAAATTAAAAAAAATATATTGATTCTATTATAAATTGACTCGGTGTTTAAAATTTTAAAAGAATTATTGTTAATATTAACCCCTAAACAGTCGCGTGGGGGTCTAGCATACCCCCACATAAATAAAAACGGATGCATTATATTGCATAAAAGGTATAGATATAAATTTAGAAAATGGTTTTTATAATAATATTGAATCGATTTTCATAAATAAATACCTTCGAAAAAAAAATGTATGACTTAAAATATTCATCAAAATTGAAATGGGTCATATAACCCCCACGCGACTTGTAACGTTATAATTTTTTTTTGGACTTTTATTTTTTTTCAAAATATCGTTTTATTATAATGTTATAATCGATATAATATTGTGGAATTGGAATTATGCGAATCTGCCACCGACTGTACAATTAAGTTTTAAAAATAAATAATCTATTGAGAATTTCCACTACTCGATGATACGGAACAAATAAGAACAAAACATGTAATAAATATATGGCGTCGCAATGTGGACACATTGATTATCGGAAATCGATGTGCTACTACGAACGAATAATTGTATATACTCGTATCATAATAATTAAATGTATTGTAATATTATTAATAAAAAAATTCAATTTAGAAAAATGATTATATAAATGTAAATACACATAAAACTAATAAATATAAGCCGCGTTTGAGCTCGAAGAAATACAAGAAAAATTGATTAAAATATATTTTGTAATAGTAAAAGCTTTTGTTTACCGTCTTAAAAATAAGATTTTGCAGTTAAAATAATTTTTTTACAAACCAAATTTTTTTAATGAAATTTTGAAAATTAAGTTTTTTTTGTAATATAATTTTTAGTAATGCACATAATTTTGTAATTTATTTATTTTTGAATTTTTATCCATATTTATATATTATATGGTAACAAATAATGTATTTGAATTAAAAAAAATGAAATTTTTTATACGTAATTTATACTTTTTTAGAAATGGGGTCTGATAGACTCCCACGCGACTATGAACGTTAAAAATTGGCACGCGACTGCTAAAGGATTAATAGTAAATTTTTTTTAAACTAAAATTATTGCTGATTGAGTGAAAAGCTTATTATCAAATAAATCTATTGTAATAATTCGTAACTATATTTTAAAATATAAATGCACAAAGTCTTTAAGTTTTATTATTTAAGACTTTTAACGATTACTGTTGACATATTTGAGAGAATTTGTTTACGGTTGGTTTCAATAATATTTTCATAATAATTTAAATTAACTGTTTTAGTGTTTCAAAGCTTATGCATAAGTATATTAAAATATTAGCTATAAAAAATTTGATAATACTTCACTTTTCTTAGGTTTTATTGGTACAGATAATGATAATAATAATAAAATTATCTGTAAGATTTTTTTTTTGATAATGTTTTTTATTAAACAAAAATATATCTCGCGTTACATATTTTTGTTTAATAAAAATAATTTACTCTGTATAAATAAATACATATCATATANCATTACAAATTTTTGTTTAATAAAAATAATTTACTCTGTATAAATAAATACATAACATATAATATAATATGTATACATAAAATATGATTTTTATCAACTTAAGTATTTTGTAGCTTATGTATTTAACATCTGTTACTTTTGAACTCGAAGTACTCCGAAGCACACATGCCTTAATGAATACCAGAAATACTTCTAAAGTCGAAAAAAAATCAGTAAATCCATTGCCTCCAACATTGGACCGGAGAGGTAGTTATGGTTCAAGGAGTATTTTGCTCAAAGGACAAATGAGACATTTCAAAGAAATCGATGTTGTTGTATTTTTGTGTAGTCCTGTGTGAGTAAATAAATAAGTGAGCTATTTTATTAAAGATTCAAGAAAATCAAATTTATTTATTTTACAAAGTTATATAAAATCATAAAAAATAAAACTAAACAACAAGTCATTATCCTTATTGGAATCGATTGTAAATGTTGATAGCAGTATTATTGTTTTTTCCTTTTTATTTTAATAGTAATAGATTATTTTTTTTTTAAATCAGTACAGTGGAAACTAACAGTGATAACTCTGCATAGCAAATTCTAGTATATTTAAAAATGACAGTGATCATTAGCACTAAACACAAAGTTGCGATTTAATTGTCTATTAAAAAAAAAATAATATTACTTTTATTAGTATTTATAATATATTAATATAAATAATTATCAAAAATTAAAAAAAAAACATTTTGATACAATGTTTAAACTCCTTGCCTTCTATAAAAAATAGGTTGCCGACAAAAAAGTAATTTTCTAAAATATTGTCAATAAAAATGTCATAATAATGCATTCGTTTTTTAAATAGCTATTTCACATTTTCCATTTTCATTTTAAAAATGTGAATATCAACTAATACTTTATAGCAATTGTAATTTTTAGAGGCAAATTTCTAAGTTTGAAATAATGGTATAAAAATAAGTTAATCCATATTTTTACGAATAAGTTTTAAACAGTTAATGAACACATTCACATTTAATTTAATTATGTTCATAACAATTTATAATAAATGTTAGTTCAATTTATGGCATTTCAGAGTCAATAATTTAGATGAATTACAAGCTATGAGTTTATACTTAAACGATTTGAACTTACACGGTTTAAGCAGAGAACTAGTTTTAGCTGGATGGCAACATTGTTCACGGTAAGTAAAATAATATTCATTAATAAAAATAATACTTAAAATTATTAAAGAAGTCAAAAATATTGTCGTTAGATTAATTAGTTTTCTCTAGTGAAATTCAACAATTATTAGTTAATTAATGTAAAATTTGAACATATTTTTATTTCCCTATTCTTTAGATTATTTTGTTTACATTACGATTATTTTCTAATAAAAATTTTTATGTTAAAATTGAAAATGTCATATTATACAAATGTACTCACTTATTTACCTAGTAAACATCAGTTAAATTTTACTTAACCTGTCAAACTAATCTTCTAATTGATAACCCCCCCCCATAAATAAGAAGTTATTTTTTAAACAGTAACAATGTATTTAGCTTAGAGCTCATGTTTGAAAGAGCGGAACAATGGTCACAGGATCTAGAAGATAATTATGAACAGTTAGATAGATGGAAGAGAAAAGGTGATTCATTACTATATTCTATGCTTCCAAAAAGCGTGGCTGACCAATTACAAAATGGACATAGCACAATGGAAACTTGTAAAGTAATAATGTAATTTAACTACATATAATGATTATGTTTAAAAAATATTATCTTACTTTCATTCTCAAAAAAGCACATTTATAAGTTTTGCGCTAATGTTTTTAATGAGTTAGTTTTAGCGTTAGTTATTAGAAGTGTGGTCATAATCATTGCCAGTGTTAGGAATAGTCATCTTGGTTAGATATAGATATTTGAATAGAAACTCATCTATATAAGATAAAAATATTTGGGGATAGACTTATCTAGATGAAAGATAAAATTATTTGACTTTTAGCTAGATAAAATTCAGATAAATTATATTTTCTATTTGTTAATAATTATTAATAAACGCTAAGAAAATTATTTTCCCTCCCTCCGATTCATACTAAATGATTTTGTTTAAAATTATAAATATATTTAAAATATTAATTTAAAAATAAAAAATAACTCGAAGAGCTACAATAATTACCAAAAAATCCCGTTTACGTATTTCGGGAAAAATGTTTTCATCATCAGCGATAAACATGATAAACATAAACATGATAAATTAATATTTCAAATATATTTATAATTTCAAATAATATTAGTTACAAGTGATATAGGTTAACTTTTCCATCCCAATATACGTTACTAAAGCATATTTAATATTCGCTATTTAACAAAAAAAATTATCCAACACTACATACTAATTATTAAACTTATATAAAAAAGTAAAATATTTTTAATTTAAGTATTATTTATTACGAATACTATCTCCATTTTTTTGTTAAATAATTAATTTTCATAAAATTTTACTAACAAAGTTGTAAGTTAAATTAAATTTATTTTTATTTTTCATTGTAAATGTCAAGTTTATTGTAAGAAAAAATTTTTCTGAAGATAGATTTTTAGGGAGCTTCTAAAATTTTAATGAGAATCTATAAGAATTTTTTTTAATGTTAAATGAGAAATAGATTTAATTAAAATTTGATTAGTCGATAACCAGTTTGTATCATTTATTTTTGAGTTTAGTTAATTTTTAATTATTCTTATCGGTGAATTATGGTTAAAATAAAACGTTCACAATCACTACCATCGTTTTCTAAATATTTAAATGCCAATACCTCAAAAATTGTTGTCATTTCAGTAATTCTTGAGGAACCCTTGCGGTAGAACTAATGCCTCAATACAAATTATGGTTTATTCAAAATATAAATAATAACTTTTTTAAATACGAAGGTTATAAGGAAAGTAAAAACATTTTGTTAATTTATTTTGAGTTAAAAAGAGACTAAGGTGGAGTCAGTAGCTTAAAAAAATTAGCTATGATAATTTTTTTCGTTGAAATTATGCGTTCTCTTTAACTCTATCAAAAATAATGTTAGTATAATAAGTTTAATATGTTTTTTTGTAAGTGAAGGAAGGGATTGTTCTGATTACATTTCATTTGAGATTTATTGATATTTATAGAACAGGTATTATGAACCATAAAAGATTACAAGATGGGCTAGAAAATTAAATAGAAAATATAGGACAAATGAACATAACGAAGAGAAGAAAGGACGGTTATCTATGATAACAGATGATTTTGTTATTTATATCTGTCCTACCTTTTCGAAATTCTCTAGTCCATTTAATGATCTTCTGATGATTCAAAACGCAAGTTTCGTATGTTAAAGTTATAAAACTTTTCAATTCTGTCTTAACATAATTTTTGAGGAGGTATTAAGGCGGTAGTGCACAATAACTCATGTATCAAAAAGAAAATTCATGACCAAAAATTTTAGTTATTGTTTACTGGAAACCAAATTGATTTTTTTTCATTACATCGAAAGCTATATAAAAATGACATTTAATAAAAAATTTCTCCGTAACTGTGAGAGGTTTTTATTTTTAATTTTTGCATAACTTTTTGTACAATTAAATATTATATTTTAAATAATGTTTGTAGTTTTAATATATTTTTTTATTTTTTATGCATTTAGACATTCAATATGGTATCCGTAATGTTTTGTGAAGTCGAAGGCTTAAATCCTTTATCATCAATTCAAGGTGTAATGTGTGTTGTCGAATGTATGAACACAGTATTTAGTTGTTTTGATTCTCTGACGGATCGGTTTCATGTTTACAAGGTATTTAATTTTTAATCATAATAGATATAATTAAAAATGTTAAATTCTGTGTTTAAAGTTACAAGTATAACAAAAAGACGTATTTTTTGTATATTTTTACAAATTTACCATCGTTTCATGTATATTATTGACTTTTTTTTTATAACTTTTTTTATTGACTAAGGCGTGGGGCAAGTTGATATACCATGGCTTAAGTTAGATAATGCTTATAAACTGAGTTATATATGTATTCCTCAATCAAGAGGATTTATTCTCCTGTCACCTTAAGAAATTTTGGATGTATTATACAATTTTTTATTAGTTTACAGAGAAACAATAATAACAAAAGTAATGTGTGAGGTGCAAGGGGACAGTTGACACCCCTTAAATTTTTACTTGAATAATTTTCATAATCGTCGCAAGATAAATTTTTTTTAATTAAAAGATAAAAAAAAATATTTTTATTTAATTACATTACGAAGACTGTGATTAAAAACATTATTTTTTATATACCAATGACATTTAGAGAGGCATTTAATTCTATAAATAATACATAAAAATACCAAAAAATCTTTCATTTATTATTTTTTTTTTTGTGAATCTCATAGATACCTATTAGAGTAATAATTTTGAGTATGTACTTAAAAAGTGCTATATATATAAATAAACATATGACAACAAACTTAATCATTTAATTTTTTTGGGGAGCTAATTCGGAAGCTCTTTTTGGTGGGTATAAGGCGAGACCTCCAAAAAAACATTATTCACTGGTTGAGGACCTCTGTCACCCTACCTTTTATGCTGGGTCTTTAGACCAAATAGTGAAATCAAATATTTTGTCCCCTCCCCATGATAAACTTTCGCGGACGTCTTTGTTTGAAATGGTCCTTTAAGATATGCTCAATTATTAGGTTTATTTTTCAGTAACTGAGCTAGTTTAACTAATTAATTAATCAAATCGTTAAGATATTAAGTTATAGAATATATTTTTTTTAATCATGTATGTGTTTTTTTCGGGTGCTAATTCTATAGCATATTTGATCTCGACATTAAGTGTCTAATTAGTTTCTTAAAGTTGACATAAATATTAAATTTTGTGTTAAAGTAATAAATTATAGCCTATAACTTAATAATACAATTTTATTAGTATTATTATACCAAAGATAGTGTTAAAATTGATTTATTATTATATTTTTGTGATGACTTCTAAACAACAACTTCTACTGTATACTCATTATATTTTACTATTGACTCTTTTTAAATTTTATTTATTATAATAATTAAATGTTTACTATATTTTTGTTATACTGTTTGAGACTTAATCCTTTTTGTGTAAAAAACTTACCATGCTCTTTATAGCTGAGTACTCTTAAAACAATATGTTAGCTTAAAAAATGATGTTCAAACAAATTATGTGTGCGGTTTCATTCATTATTTCACATACAATATTAATCCAAAATATTTATAGTTTATAATTAAGCGATATTATGTAGTAAATATTGTAGAGTTCACTCATTATTAATTTTGTTTATGTTTCTATTGTAGGTAGAAACTGTCAATCAAGTATACATGGCGGTTAGTGGTGCTCCAGAGTATACAGAAGAACATGCTCGCAATGTCACTGACCTCAGTTTAGAATTTACTGATAACATAAGAGAATTGCCATTTCCATGCAATTTAAGAATAACTATAAAAATTGGTACCAATTTTAATTTAAATAAAACAACATGGAACAATTTTTAATTGATTGATACTTTCATTGAACTAGACTCAATAATATAAAAACTGTCCTCTATTAATCATTTTCCTTATTTGTTTTGTTAAAACAATTTATAAAAATGCAATATAAGTTATATTAAATATAATTATAAAGTATCAGTGTAGATCCAGGATTGGGATAGGTATAAAAATTTAACTTTTAGACTATGTTTTCATCTGATATTTTTGACGCACATTTATACCGCTGTAGTGAGGCGCGAATATATTAAATTTGAATTTAGTACAATGTAAACCTAAACTAACGCCCTATCCTATCAGCCTGCATAATAATTATGATTAAATTAACTAAAACATTGGTATTTAGTCTATATTTATTTTTCAAGATTAATTAACAAGGTAGAGAACTGATCAAAAAATAATAATATTCTAGGGTTTTGTCATTTAATATAGATATTGAATAAAATATAGTTGCCACCAGGTACTGACACCTTCTATAAATTTTGACCTAGTGAATATTTTGTGTTGATTTTAACTTCGATATGAAACTGAGAAGGTATTAATTATACCGTGATGTGTTTATTTTTTTTTTTTGTCTATCACTACTTTTTCTCAGTTATCAGTGGACCGATTTTTCTCAACGATACGTAAAAAAATCAAAAATCGTATCTAGTTGAAGACAATACCCTCAAAAATCGAACAAATTTTCCTTGTTCTTCGTAAATAGGAGAAATTCCACTGAAAAATTATGCGACTTTTAAAATTTTTTTCTCAACTTTTTAACTTAACTTAATTTTAATGAGTTAAATAAATCATTAACTTACCTCCTAGTCTTGTTAATAGTTATTGATTATATATCATTTAGGTATTCATTCAGGACCTGTTGTAGCTGGAGTAGTAGGTATGAAACTACCACGTTATTGTTTATTTGGCGATACCGTCAATACCGCATCGAGAATGCAGACAACCAGTGAGGTGAATTAAAATATATCAACTATTGAATGCAATTGGATAGTTCAAATAAAAATTATTATTTTTTAATATGTAACACAAAAAAATTATTAAAATGAATTTTTTATAGCCTGGCAAAATTCACTTATCAAATACAACTAAACAGCTGTTACCACCAGACGCATATATATTATCTCCAAGAGGAATGGTTACAGTTAAGGTAAGAAGCATTAATTAAAATTTAAATAAGCTTATATTTTAATTTTTTAAGTACATTTTACTTTCAGGGAAAAGGAGAAATGGAAACATTTTGGGTTCAAAAGAAATCAGAAACATCATTGCTGTTTACTAAAAGATGTAGTGTTTAGACTAAATGATTGCAAAAAGGTTTTAACCTTACACTTTTTTTTAATCGATTATATTTAATATTATATTTGTGTACCTAAATTAATTTTAACTCATAATTTAAATTTTTCAACTGAAATATTAAAAATACTTAGTAATTTAGTAATATATAATTACGTCTGTTAAAATGTCAAGGGTATAATGTATATTTATACAACACTTAACATATAATACAATACATGATTACAAAACATAAAATATAAATTACTTTTATGTTTTTATACACTAATATAATGGAAATTCTTTCAATACCGATAGATAACCAAGTGAAATACAACAAAATAACTTTATTAAATTATTAAAATATTGGAAACTAAATGTGTAAATTTATAATATTAAACACATTTTCGCATCATCATTTTTAAGAACAAGGTTTTAAGATTTTTTTTTTTAATTTCTTATTAATATATAATATATTCAATGGGGCCAGATGTGGCGCTCTGAATCATTCAGTCGCTGTTTTAGCGCTGATGTTCAGCTGATATCTTTGTTATTGGGTACCAGATGGGTAACCAATAAACGAAAACATTAACAGTGACACACACATTGGCCCATACTGTTTTCCTCATCCATAAATCAGTTGCATTTGGTCGACAGCCGGTGTACAATTCCATCAAATCGTTAAGGCAGAACCAAAAACTGGGAAAGAGATTATGGTGGTGATGATGATATAATATGTTTAATAAAATAGATTCATTCAAATTATATGACTAAATAATACATTTCTTTTTTTTTTAATAAAAAGTTTAGTTAAATTTTATATAATTTTATATGATATTGTTTTTTACATATTTAAGATAATAATCTTTTTTGTATTTAGGGGCGTAAAGTAGCTCATTTGACCAAAATTCATCATCTTGCAACTCTTTTTTAACGAATATATTGTTTTTAAATTCTTGGTTTATATAAATCGTTTTAAAATTATTGTTATTATCATCAAGTTCTATAAAAAAATTTTCTTTGATTTCTTCGTGGTTCATTAATTTTTGTACATCAGAATGAAATTTACTTTTGCATATATTCTCTAAATTAAAAAATGTAAACATTAATCATTTATTGATAAAAGTAAAGTTAAGTATAAAACAAGAAAATTAGTCTAATAAAAAATTATTGTAATTAGTTTATTTTTTCTATTCAAAGTAATTAACTGCTATACAAACTATGTTTTATGTATCTATAATTGACAAAAATTTTAAAGATTATAATCTTTAAATTATTCTGGAATATTTTAGGTTCATTCTGAACTAATTTATTATAATTGTTGTTAGTCTATAAGAACAATATACACAGTGTTTTTTTTTTTAATGAATTACTTAATTAATTAACAAATAAAAATAATATCAATAATTTTTTTTTTGTTTCATTTGGGTATATGTATTTCTTAATTTATCTGTCACAAAGTATTTTTTATGTTGATTCCTAATATCTTATAAAGATGAGAACTTTATTTATTTTTAATGACGACATACAGTTTAATTAGCTTATAAAATAAAAAAAATGATACAATTAAGAAAATGACAGGTCGATTATTATTAGAATAGTTCTTCAAAAGTACGACCGAAAATAATAATATACGTTTTATACTATGATTATAGCATATTTTAGTTATCACTAAAAATATAAAAAACTTATTATTGTTATTAATTTTTTTTCAAAATATTAATATAGATTTTTTTTAGCAGTTTTAATAAAAAAATTTTGATGAACCGATGATAATTATAGGACTCAATATGTTATAAGCATTTTGATATCATAGCATTATGTAATCGGGTGAGTAGAAATTTTTTTTAAAATTTCAAGAGCTTATATTTAGCACTATTCTTAAAAAAAACAAAATAATAATTTTAGGTAAGTAGTCATTAAATTACGAACTTTTTAATTCATAACATGATACAGAGTATATATCATCAGTATGAACTGCACCTCACTCTTTACATATTCACTATATGTATCAAAATGTTTGTAGCTCAATGAGTACTTGTCCTATAATTATCATCGAATAATCAACATATTTTATATTAAAAGGGCTAAAAAAATGTATTTAAATTAAAAAAAAACAATAATAACATTTTTTATTTTTTCTTATTAGTGATAAGCGTATTCTAAGAGGCAATAATTATTTTAACAAAATTATTGTTGTATCAAAGGTTATAAGCATTGTTCGTAAGATCGGAGACATTTTGTACAGCTCATAAAGCGAAAACCATTTATTCGCATTAAGTTGTTGAGAGATTACGCAATAAAAAAGTGTCAATTCCGGACAATCTTGAAAACATGGTAAATAATATGGAACCGCAGCGCGATAACGTCGAAAAAGAACTACTAACTCATTCCAACAATTCTATTTACCGACTAACTGGTACTTCCTTTTCCCTTATTTTATTTCCGTTTTGTTATACAAGGCGATTTTTTTTTAAATCATCAAATTATTACTATAATGATTATTTTCATATGACAACTTCATAAGTGATCTAGAAATTTTTCAATAAAGACATCTGTTCACAACAATCATTTAACATTGTTGACTGTTTTTAATTTTTAAGTTTCATACAACTAGTGTACATTTTTAAGAAATTTTCCAATTTCTTGTGAATTAAAATATATTTCGATAGTGGTTTATCCAGTATTTCTAGTTTTTAATATAATAATATTTAATACAGAATACTTTAATATAATTTAAAATTATCTACTTACTTAGAAAGGTTTCATTTATAAGATTATTATTCAAAACAAATAAACTATTTATCAAACTATGGTTGTATAGAATATCACTCAAATAAAATCTCCAACTTTTTAATTCATCGATGTACAAATTTACGTTATTTTGAATTACAGTGGCCTCTTCAATAATTGTTTTAAAACTTTGCTTTGTAACCAAACTTTCGTCAAATTTCAATTTTAATGAAAATTTCAATTTGTTACAAGTCATTAGTTTTTCAATGATTTCCAAAAGCTTATCAGATACGTTATCGGTGATTGTTTTTATTTTTGATGTTTGAAAATTTTCAAAAAATTTGTATATTAATTCGTAAATCACTTCAAAAAAATGTCTTACGCCACGATTTTTATTAGATTTGTCATAAATTTTTTTATTGCAAGTATATTCGATGAATTTATTAAGGCAATGCATCATACTATTGCCCATCTCAATGATTATATCTTTGAATGGCGTAAATGAATTTTGGAGAGAGTCTACAGAATAATATACAGTGGCAGTTTTAATGAAGTTACGAATAATAATTGCTACAGGGCGAAATAATGCAGCAAATGTCATTTTTTGAAATAATTTTAAATCTTGAATGTTTATATTATACTTTATATAATTGAATACTTCAATAAGATTTACGTATCTTCCATCATAACACTTTTCATTAATTAAAGCCAACCGGAAGATGTTTAAATTCTCTATTCTTTGATGAAGAGTTGATATATAGTTATTATTATTTTTACTCTTTTGTCCATACATATTAGAATAAAAGTATTTCTCTGGATCAAAACTCACGAGTATTTCAATATTACTAGTTAATTTAAGTGTGTTCATGATAGACACTTTCATTTGCAGATTTTTTTCTAGTAGATCTGTCGGGGTATAGGTAATTAATTCGATAGGTATATTTAGTATTTGTGTTTGTATTGAATAATTTATGTGCATACAATTTTCATCAACATGATGCTTAATATGTTCAATAATTGAGCGATGCATAATCTGAAAACCTTGAATTAAAAAATATATCCAATTTGTTTTTTTGTCAGTATCGTTACAAAAAGCGTTCAAAAGTGTTGTTTTAGAACCATTATTTATATACATATTTACCAAAAACAAATCATAAGGGATAACATCATAATTTAAAGACGCCAAATTTTCCAGAAAAGCTAAAACAACAATATCATGAGTTCTGATTGCTTTGTCGAAAATGCGCAAGTCTTCTTTAGTAACATTTTCAACATTTTTTTCTAATTCATTCAATGAGATTTTATTGTTTTGAAAAAATCTTAATAGATATTGAGAGTAGACACAGTGTAAGTTGTGTCCAGTAGCAGTGGTATTTTCTGCCTTGGAAAAAGCAAAAATTATTAAAACAGTAAGCAAATACATTTAATTTAAACTAAAATTTAATAAGATGAAGGAAAAATTTAACACTTTTATTAGATTTAGTTAGACAGTATACATTAATTTTTTTCTTTTCTTTGTAATTTTTTTATATTAATTAATTCTTCTCTTTAAATAATTGTAAATTATAAAAGAAAAATATTAGAAACAAAGTGATGTACAATAATATGATTACGAATTAAGTATTTATTACGAATTTTTAAAATATATTTTACTTTATGAGCTGTTTAAACAATTATTTAAAAAACTGTATTATTATAACGTGTCAGGTGTTAAAAAAAAATTATTACAACAGTCGAAATTCAAACAAAACAACGTCGTGCGAATGTAAAAAGTACCATTAATTAAATAGTAGAAAAAAGAATAAAACTTATAATTGATTAGTAATTTAAAAACAAGGCCACAAAATACTACGTTTGCCAGGGAGACTATCCGATGACAAGGACGCTAACAGTATTTTATAAAATTCGTCAGGCTAACAATTATTTTATCTATAAGCTCACTTTGATTAAGAAATAACATTTTAGTAAAAAGAGGAAGGTTAGGTAGTTAATTTTTTATATTTTATTATAGTTTAATTATTTTTCTATTTTGAGGAGCGATAACAATGATATTTTTTCTTTGAACTTGTACTTTTCAGTCTTAACATGTTACAATTTTTAATAAGTAAAGATTTTCAGAATTTTTATTTATTTTGTTATAAATAATCATTATTGATTGGTTCATGCATTTGTATAGAAATTAAAAAATCTTAATAGTAGTTAATATTAATTTCACTTATTTTAAATTTGGCAATTGCTCACACAAAAAAATTCGCAATATTATTATTATATAATTTCAAGTGATTCAAATTTTTTAAACCATGAAAAACATTTATAATTATGTAAAATAAAAATTTTCTTTAATGCATTACTACTCTATGTGCATAAAATTTGTAAATTATCGAAATTTAAAAAAAAACCGTTGAATATTGTAGATATAAAATTGAAGCGTTGTTATCAATTTAGCAATTATCAATTTACAGTTAAAGCTGCTAAGAGGAAATTATTGCATGCAGGTAATAATTAATTACAATTCATACAATCATATGGCTATTTTGGTGTATGAAAGATGACTTACGTCTTTATTTTTAAATATGATTTAATAAAAGATGTTTTATAACCTGGTAAAATTTGTATTTGATAGATATTTTTTCAAATTTAAATATTAAAATAATTAAAAATTATTATAAAACACAAGTTACAAAACTTATAATAAGGTTAACAAACAGCGATGACATAAAACAGTCAAACATTTATAAAGTCTACTGTTAGGTTTATATTGTAGTTTTAGTTCACCCAAATAAATTCTCTGATATCATAATGTGTTTTACATTCTTCTCATCATGTAGCGATTCCTCTATATTTGATTCTATTATTTGATCTTCTTCACTAAAATTTTCTTCAATTTTACTTTCTTCCAATACATTTTTAGTTACTTTATTTTTGTTGTTTTTAAGATAATTGTGAATTTCATAAGCAACTTCTCTAATAATGTCATCTTCGATTTTGTCTATATTAAGAACCATTTGATCACCATGCCACGTTACTAATGGTTGATTTCCTCTCCACCAATTGGATACTTCCAACAAGTTAAAATTATTGTTACAAAAAGACTGAAAATTAGATTTTAGAAATAAGTTAGTACGTAGCGCTGCAGCGTGCATACTTATAACTAGCATGTCTTCTGTGTTGAAAACTTCTCTGCCTCGTCCATTTTTAAGTAGATTATATGCTAAAGAAAAATGAAAATAACCGTTACTGTCGAGTTCATATTTTATAGATAAATGTCCCATCTCCACAATTGCTGAAATGAGAATTTCTTCTTTTCGTCGTGTCTTGGAGTCTTTAATAATTGTTTCTAGTAGCTTATAAGCCTCCATTTTATTATCATTTCGTTGTAATATTTTAGATGCTTCGAGAAGAGCTCTAAGATCCAAATCATTATCAAGATCAATGTTTAATTTACAAGCTGTAGAGCATTTAATAAATGTATCTATTGCTTCGTCAACCATTCCAGCTGCATAGTATCTTTTACCCAGCTCAAAAGTTGTCAAATATTGATCATCATTAGGTCCAGAAATTTCTATTAATTTTAGAGCTGTTTGAACTGTACGTAATGCCCATTTCGAATTTTGACATGTTGCTATTAACATTAAGGTTTTATATTCATAAAAACAAGCGGCAGTCCATAAGGGACCTTTTGTTATGTGTATGCCATCATCAATAATTTCTTGAATTATTAAAGGTAATCGCCAAGATTGTTTCCAACTCATGTTACGAGAACGATTAAAGAAACTAGCTGCATCTTCTAATGAACTTTTTGCTGTCTTTTTTAAAAACCAACCAGTTATGAATAATACAGTCGCTTTGTCTAATTCACTTAAATCGTCTACCAACATCGTAGCAATCAATAAACAATATTCGGCCACCCACCACCATTCCGCAGACAAATTAGCAAATGTTATAGTTAATTTTAAGAGATTTAAAACTTTTTGAGCGATTCCATTTTCTGGAATATCGATAGCTTTAAGATGTTCACTAAGTTTTAATAATAAATTATCATTTTCTCGTAGCGCTGGCGCTAGGGGCGCTATTGTAGTCCGCTCATTATCTATTATCAAAATATATTCGAATACTGATGCAGCATAAAATTGTTTGTCTTCAACCATTTCCAAATACATATACTTATACATAGGTAATAGTTTGCGTCTAGCGGTCTTTAAATCATAATGTATAGTCAATTTGGTCATGGCTGCTTTTAAAGTAGGAATACCATATTTGAGCACAATACTGCGTTGAAGATCATTTTGATCCAATTTTACTATGTTTTTTTCATCGAATTGGACATCTTCCGGTACATATTTTTTTTTTGTATGAGTACGAGTTATGAGTGACATCGGTTTTGAATAACGACTTTTGATGTTGCTGTATTGTTTTGATTTGTATTTTATTATTGGATCATCAGACCATTGATTAAAATTTGTAGCACCTAGCGGTTTTAATTTCGTTTTCATTTTTACTTTGTCTTCCATAATTTAGTTACGTTAGTATCACTAAGCTAAAGATTTTAAAGTATTAAAAAATAAAGCAATGTTAAACAATAAAAAAATATGAAATTATATTATCATGATCATGATACAATCAAGTTGTAATTTATGTATATAATTGTTGTTGTTGACTATAACATAGCTTTTATTCTGTAGCTAGGGAAAAAGTTAGTTTTTAATTTTTATTAATAATTAAAGGCTAAATATTTTTTATATGCTTGATCATAAGTATTTATTTGTTTTATTTCACACGAATGAATATTCTTATGATTCAATTTATGTGTATGACATATTTGAGCATAAAATTATTTTATTTGAATTCAAGCTACTTTAAATATGATCAGTCGACTTGCAAATCATACTAAAAAGGAAAAAAATGAACAATGGTCGACCGTTACTATAGTTATGATGGCATTGATGAAGCCTCCACAAAGATTGAGTACTTACTAGTAACAATTGGGCGCCATTAGAGCGGTGGATATCTTTGATAAAAAATATGCGTTAACCAATCCTTTAAAAACCGGTGCTGGAATGTTTTTACATTCAAACCTAAAACGACCCTTCTCATGACTAACGGACATGATAAGATGAAGACTGTAGTTATTATACTCTGCATAACTTGACAGGATTTTTAAGCATTTATAAAAGCCAAGAGATTATTTGTAGATATTTTTGCATACGGCCTAGAAATAAACCACAAGTATAAAATTAATGTAATTTCAAAATTAGACATTTTCTGCTATTTATAAGGGCACAAACAACAAAACTTCGAAAATATTGATATCACCCTAATCTCCCTTGAATTACCACGACTGTTGATAAACAAAAGACAATATTCCTATTTATTTTATATTAGTGTGTTAAATTTCAAGTCATTTGAAAATATACACAAGTCAACAGGGTTATTCAAAATGTTCGCCCGCAAAGCATAGCGGCTGCATTAACATATGATCAATGATGAAAAAAAGTAATATAAAGTAAAAAAATTGATAAAAATAATTTTTATAAAATCTTTGATAATGTTAATATCAAGGTGTTAAACATTTTGTGGCCAGTATTTTAATATAATAACATTTATTGTTATCTTGTTTTATTATCAGATTTTACTTTTTTTAAATATTTTTTGGGGAAAGAGAATCTATTATACTATCTGTATTCGAAAATAGATAACACGCTAAAAAAAAATTGTATCCAAAACTTACTATGTGCATCTATTATTATTTGTGTTCATTTTTTAAAAAAAATTAAATAATTAAATTATGTTTAATCATTTCTGTATAATACAAAAATGTATTTATTATGTATTTGTACTTACATGTGATGGCATTAAAAGTTATTAATAAATATGAATTCATTACTTGTTATTAAATCCAACTGTTATATTCCAGTTCTTTTGAAAGTTTTATAACGTAAATAAATAAAAATATTTTTTCAATGAAATTTATAATATATTTTTAATAATAAATAAATCAATGAAAATTAACATTATAAATTAAAATGATTAAATAACAATTTTCTAATGAGTGCTGTACAAAAAATACATAATTAAATAAAAATTGTTTGAGATCTTGATTGCTTTCATTTTGAATGGTGTTATTCTGCTGATGGTACATAAATATTTGTACAAGGACATGCGTCAAGTGTGTTGTTGTGTATCCAATTTAAGTATCTGTTTACTCTGGAATAAACACCGGGTTTTTTCGCTAGAGCACATCCTTCTCCCCATGAAACAACACCTAAAATTTAATGAATTAGGTATCTGTAGATATTAAGATTAATAAACTTTATTTTAAACATACATACCAACAACATGTAATGCTGAATTGTTAGCGATATGCATTGGGCCACCACTGTCACCCTATAAATTAAGAACACAATAAAATCATTATTCTCAAGGGCATGATGGCAACTATCATTTGGGAATATACTGAAATAATCAAATCAGTTTTCTTCCGGGTAAACTCATTAATCACTAAACGGTGAATCACTTAATTTGAATTTTAAATTTTATTCGTTTTAAGAGTTGTAAAATTTATAAGAGGTTTTAACCTTCCTTGTCATCATGATATTTTGATACAATAGCAATCTAAACACGTTTGAAATACACAATTTTGGGGTTCATTAAACACCACTATCAAAATTCCTAATTAAAAATTAATGTAATACTATACTGTAGAATTGACTTGTTACATTGTGGGTTTTGGTAATGAAATACATATTATGTCACAAGATATATCTCACTTGATCCGCATACGAGTGCATCACCTGCCTCCTTATTTTTTTAATTGGCATTGATTCACTATAGGTTTATTGATATTAGTTTTTTTAGTAAGTTTAAAAACTTTTAAGTGCTTTTGGAAACTATTAATTTTAGTAATATTTTATTCGTGCCACTTCTAAGATGTTTTAAAATAACCCAAGAATTTATTTTAATAAAATTTAAGATACATTATTTAGCTTTTAAATTATTTATAACGCACCATTCGAAATAATTTTTCTAAATTACGTTTAATTAAAATACCGAATATTGCTAATTTTATATTTTATTCATAAGACCTATTACCTGACATGAGTCTTTTGCTCCTTCCGGGTATCCGGCACACATCATGTTATTTGTTATTCTTTTTGCGTCGTAGTCTGTTTTTCTACAGTCTTCATTGCTCATAATTGGTACGTACACTTCATGGAGGATTTGTGAAGATGACCCACCTTGCTTTTTTGCACCCCATCCTGAAATTATACCTTCGTAACCAGCAAAGCTTTTTCCTGTAACAGATTAGACCAATATTCAGAATAAACAACTTACTCTTAATTTAAAAAAAATGTCTAATAGTTATACCTTCAACAGGAAGACACACTGGATTGATTCCAGTTGTTTGACCTAATTCAATGCCTTCGGTATCAAGACGAAGTAGGGCGATGTCGTTATTATAAGAGGATGGACTGTAACCTTTGTGTTTTATTACCTTTTTCACTTTAAAATCGATGTGTTGAGCTTCATCAGTAATACTACGATCATGTTCTAAAATTCTGGCACCAATATTCTTTCCATCAAATCTAAAAAAATTAAGTGATACATTTTTTTATTTAAATAAAATAGGATACGAAAAATATTTTGCTGAATTGGATTACGAGCATAAAATAAAATATAATAACTTTCTTATTTTCAGAAAAGTCTAAAGAAAATACAACTATATCCTTTTTTAACAAATAACTTTGTTATATAATATCGTTTTTATTGGAATATTTTAATATTTTTACTATGAAGGAAATTGTTTTTGTTTTTCAATTTTTTATTTAAAATTAAAATGCGTTTTCAATCAAATAATAGGTTGTAATTAGTATATATTACAAAATAAGGTTTGGCTTATACCCGTGAACGCAGTGGGCAGCAGTTAAAACGTATTTATGATTTATCAAAGTTCCTCCACAGTAGAATTTGCCTTTGTATGTTAACATAACCATCCAAGGATATTGATGTTTGTATGTTGGTACTCCACCGACTATTCGATTCTTTTTACCAATAGCTCCACAAGCTGTTAAAATAAAATAAAAAACATTAAAAAATAAATTATATGAAAAATTAATGGAAAAATCTTACTGCATGCTGGACAAGTGCTCTGATCAATAGGAGTCACTGGTACTTCAGGTGTAACGTCTTCAGTAGGAGTTCCAATGCCAATAAGATTCTGCCACCAGCTCAAGTAATCGGAAAACGATTGTTGACTCATTTCACCAGGCTTACCTTCAGCAGATAATGGCAACATAACCTTAAACACATAGAAGTTTACTTATTAGAAATAATGAAAAAAGTTGCATTTTCCTAAAATTCTCACCGGCACACGTTGAACGGACATGTCTAAAAGTGATACGAGTACAATACATAATATTTGCCACATTCTTTGATTTTTAGTGTCTATTGAACAATTTTTAGAATGATTATATTTACTGAAAAAAAAAATTTATTTTTGAGTTGAATAATTGTTTGGTTCCGAAAACCGCACTGATCACAACTAGCTCTCTGCTCGTATATTTATTAGCATTGTAACTTCCGTCATTGGATTAAGTGCAAGTTTTTGCTTTTTTTCGTTAACAAACCAAGGTCATGGTCTTCCGGACTACCGCCGTCTACCCGCAAAGTCAAGTCTCGTGGCCATTTAACTGATAAAAGTTCGGGCTACCTCGCTGGACGGTCGATAAAAATCCAACAACCGATTTTCTAGGTCGCTCTTTTAATCATCACTGCTTATGTCTACTTCGGATTGTAATAAACAATTATTTAAGTACGCTAATTGTAAAGCTAATGGGCGATGATAACAGCTATTGTATTCGTGTAATTGTTGTCAAAACGTTTGTCTTACATGCTTGTTAAGATTTGAATTTTTATTTGAAGATAAAAACAGGTGGACAAGTCATGTAACTTATTTTGTTTTTAACATAAACGGCAATTAGTTTGAACAGTAACGTTTTGTAAGCAACGCGAGAACTAACAAACAGTTTCCTAGTTTACGATGGCTAGTCGTCTCTGTAATCTCTCATAAAATTTTACCGTTTTTCTCTATTGCAATGCGTATGTATTATATTATTTCTCTTTCTAAAAACTTTATTGGGAAGTATGATCATTAACTTTGCAATTGCAGACATGAATCTGATAGCATTTACAACGATTTCATGTAATAAAATGAAATCATTCCACTGACGAAGAACAAAATAAATTGTTGACGAAAAAGGGTTCGGAAAATCGTCATGATAAAATTTCAAAACAACTAACTAAATGAACAAAAACTTTATAAATACGAAGAGCATAAAAAATAAACGGCGACTATTTTATTAGTCCAACAAAATGGAAAATTCTGAATAAGCTCTTCCGTCCATTAAAAAAATTGAGAAATATTCAGCGTAATTTTACAATTACAAATTATTCTACTATTTTAGTGAAAATAAAAATGATACATCGAATCGATTTAAGTATAAATTTAAATAATTCAATTTAGTTAATACTAAAATCGCGGTTTTTAGATTATTTAAAAATTAAAATAACTATACTTGTTATAGTAAATGTAATAATCATAATAACTGAGGTATTGTAATAGTTTATAAGAAATAACTAATTAGTTAGAACTAAATCTAAATAGTTACCCTAATTTAAAAACACGGTTAATATATCAACAAAATTATTATGTAGTTAAAAAAATTAATCTCACATATTTGAAAGTATAGTTGAATCATCTATAAAAAATAGATTAAATCTATCTATGATTGATGTCTGAATCAGTTTCCATAACAGATTAATTAAGTTTTACAGCATTAACTTTATGAAATAACATTACTGAATATAAATTACAGGTTATAGTACAAAGTTATATAGTTTTATAATAAATCAAAATGTTTATTATTATAGGACTGATTCGATACTTGGTAATTCGTATATACATATGATCATTTTTTGTATTTTTTCTGACTAAAAATGACACATAAAAATAACTAAATTAGAAAAAATTGCTCATTATAATTGTATTACAATCATTAATTTGTTTTCAACTTTAAATATAATATTTAGTTGATCTATATATTTTATATTAATATTTTTTTTAGAAATATCAACTAGAGAAACAAACAAACAATGACAACAATAGATATCAGTTTCCTTACTTTTTTAAACACTTTATATATGTGCTTAACGCTATGTGTATTATCTTTGGTAACATTGATCTCGAAATACGTATCCGCCATTTTTTGTGTTAAATATTTTTAATATTTTTTTTTAGTTTTATTTTAATATTTTTAATGTAATTTCAATTTTAAATAATATTAAAAATATAATCACAATCAGACATTATCTATACTTGGCCCAACTATGATGCGTCCCACTGTATCACGATCACACTGGGGTGTGTATTTTTATCATATATCGTTTATTTGAGTTATACAAATTTAATTAAACGTGGATTCTGCTGGAAAAATATGTTTGTAAAGTAAAATTTTATTAATAAAAATATTTATATAGTAATCTATTCTGCACTAATTAGTTAATACTCATACTCTAATAATTTTTTAAATTATAATAAAACATCATCCAACCGAAATACGCCATGAGTCAATATAAAATATAGGATTGTATTATTGTAAAAATTAATTATTGTGCGAATTTAAAAATTGAAACGAGATCATTTATTTTTAGCAGGCTATATCACACAATTTAATTCTATGTAAATGATTATAAAAAACGAATATTTTTGATGTTCATTAGGCAAATGAAACAAGATATTTAAGGAAGTTGATTTTTAAATGTATTCAATGTAATCATAANTTTGATGTTCATTAGGCAAATGAAACAAGATATTTAAGGAAGTTGATTTTTAAATGTATTCAATGTAATCATAAATCATAACCTGATTGAAAATAACAGCAGCTAACGAACTGGAAGACGTTTTTACGTATCATTTCACTAAAAGGTATTTTTTCATTTCATGATTTATTTTTTTGATGCGTAGTAATAAAAATACATAAGAAAAAATATACAGAGTGGTTGTTTTACCATTAACCACTTAATTTATCAAAAATAAAAATTATAGTAAAAATTGATATTGTACTTTATACCTTAAAGGGTGTAAACTTTATTTTGTCAAATATCAGCATTCATAATTAACTAGCATATTTATAATTTATTATATAAATAAGCCAATTAATATTAATAATATTTTTAAAAATACTTAAAAAAAAGAAATTAATAAAAAGTTATCAATTTTGTTTTTATATTAAATTAATTAAGTAGTAAATGATAAAAGCATCACTCTATATTAAAGAAATTTCATGATATGGTAATTTACATGATTAAATTAAAGTAAGGTTTCGACTGTTGTCTTTTCTTTATTAAAATGTTTATCCTATAAAGTCATGATATAATGTTCATTGCAAAAAGTTCTTTAAGATTTTTCGATCAAGTAGCACTAAAAAATTTTATTTTTTACTAATAAGTAAGTAAGGTTTCACTAAATTTATGTAATAAAACAATAAATTGTATTGAAGAACAAATTTTAATAATTATTAAAAAAAAAATCATTAAGACAATTTTAATAATTTTTATTTCAATTTTTGCTCTTTTTTTATTTAATGATAAGAAATTCTAACTCAATTATTGTACTTGACCCGTTTAATTTTAAAAATTAGATAAGGAAAATAATATAAATAGAGCGGGCAGTAACCTCGGTACACATAAATGTTCTCAACATCATAAACGGATTGAGAAAAGCTCATCACATTTATACAAACATAAATAAATACACCGTCGTTGTGATAAGAACAAAACGGCCTAAATGACATTGGAAAAGAAACAAGGATATTAATGGAGATAAATACAATGATGGTACATTTATGTCATGGTTAAACCACAAAGTATTTGACCCCATAAATATGTTAATAATAGAATATGAGGATGCCTAAACAATAGTTTTAGCTTTGTTGCTTTGGTTCATTTGTTTATTATAATAACTCATAGACAAAACCATACCCGATATTTATATAATTGTAAATAATCTGTATGTTCTTCAACAGTTAATAAGTTTTGAATGGAGCATCGACTATTCAAAAGTAAAATGTTAACTAAAAATTGTTTTTTTTTGTTCAATAGAGTTTTTATTGAGCTATTATTAGTTACGATTCCTTAAAAATATTCTGAAAATTTTCCTGAATTAAACGATCATTGCTAATTATTCGTTTTCAATAATAATGTTTACTTTTTCTAAAGTTTATGTACATCATTTTATTGTATATTTATGATTTATTATACATAATATTGTTATAAACCAGGATTTATTTTCTCATTGAAATTGATTAAAACGCCGTAATAACAAATAAAATAATAAATATTATATTAAACAATTTGAAAAATTGTGTCTCACGTTAAACAGTTGGACTTGAAAAATGTTATTGAAGATATCATTTGAACACTGTCACAGGGTGAATTGTCCTTGAATGTTATTATATTAATAACCAATAACGGCAGTATTGACTATATTTTTGCTTACATTTAATACAAGGGCGACCAGTCAATTGTTCTCGATATTCTATGATAATTATCAAAAATTTAATGAATTTATTTTTATTTGAATATTTTCCTGGGTTGAGTTGATGGTTTTTTTTAAAAATATTGTTCAACATGTGATGTATTTTAAAAAATCGTGTTCGTTGCGAATGAGTTATTTTGTATTCATACAGAATAACTCATTTATGTTTAAATAATTTTAGTGAGTATTTAACTTCTGTATAAAATACTTAACAAAGAAATTTTTTGGTTTACTATCTAAGACGGAAATTTACTAAAAACATTTGGAAATAATTTATCATTTATTATGTAATTGTTTCTGCTATTATTACATTTGTTAAGTAATAGCAATGCAATAAAGATTAAGTTACTATTAGTCAATTATAGGACGATTGGGTAAAGTTATTCGGCTAAAATTAAAAACTGAAACGCAATACACCCACTTGGACCAACTAATGAGAAAATGTATTGTCATTGTGGAAACCACCGGGAAAATATGTTTTGATATTTACCTGTCGAGTTTGGTTTTGTCGCTAAAAATACAATATTGCGCATTAATACTTAACATAAAGCATAGTCATCTATTTATGCGTGAAATGACAATTAATGGGTCGTTTAAGTCGTGTTCATGCTGACACAGAGAGACTACCGACATTTGTGTCTTCCGTCGCTTTCACCCGTGTCGTATATGGCAGCGGCTTTGTTGCGCTATTTTCATTACAGTCGCGTTGGCTTTCACGACCACACGTAAAAACTCGATAGCAAAACGATTATGTATTGCGATTGATAGCACAGCGTGTCATTGGGTCTAAAGTACCTGATTAGACACATACATTGACAGTGGCAAGGTTCTTAATAGTAGTGAGAGGACTTGAGACTTTTGAAAACAAAATGCCCTCGAAATCCACAGACAGTTTAGTTAGCCATTAAAACTTGCACTAAATGTTTTTCGAGAATTCAGAAATAGTTCTAAGCCCCTTGGCGTGTTTATTGTAAAGTTAAAATTATTAGTATTCGAAGAAATGTTATTCGTCTAATATTTTTATATAAAATATGATTTTATTCGTTTTGTACGGAAATTTCAAATAATTCTTTGAAATATTTTTGTTATTTCTACTTCAAAGTTGTGTCGTGAAAAAAAACTTGAAAATGTTGGCAATGTAACGTACAAACATCACTTCTGAGAATTATGATGTACTATATTAAAATTTCTTACAATCTTTTTGAACACCATACTCTGTGTTTCCACCCGAATCAACAATATTTTCCTTTAGCAATCTCGAAAATCAATGAGTTTTATTAAACGCGATCAGTGGCGTGTAATGGCCTTAATTTACTTTTATTATGTTCAATAACTCGCAATAAAAATATTTCTACGTAGATAAAATTGTTGAATGCATAAATAACTATAACGATTCTAGGGATAATAATATAAAACATTTATTTTTTTGTATCAGAACTTTCATAACAGTTATCAATTCGCGGGAAATGTGTTTTGTTTTATTGTTTAGAGTAAAATATATTTATCTAATTTTTTTTTAATGGCTTGATTTATACCTCATTTTTGTTGGTTTGTCAAGTCAACCGTCGATATAGTAATTGCTATTTACTCGAACAATCTTTTAGAATTATATTAAAATGAATTTCAATCGGAAGCGTAAATTAAACATAAAAAACGTGAATTATATTTGTTAAAGGAAAAACTTGAATAATTTATTAATAATTAATTTAACTTCTTTGTTGTATATTCTTGTATTTACTATCTACAGTTTAATCAGAGTACACCGAGTTGTTAAAATGGATATTTATTTTGTAAGAGCCGTTCATACTTTTTCAATTAAAATTAAGACTTTATTACTATTTATATATTGACGAAGTATCTTTTGAATAAAAATACTAAATTCTATTCGGGAAAACTAATTTATTTTCGATGTCAAGATTGTTATGGTACTTTGTTTATTTTAATCCATTCTTCTCAACCAATTCTATTTGATTACTATTACAATTTTGGTATAAAAAATACCCATTTTGATTTATCAGTACTATTTTTATGATTCTCGTCATAATTATTATTGTGAATAAGAAATTTGTTAAAATATTGAATTAAATAATTTTGTTTGCTATTCATATTCTTAAGAATACATTCTGATACATTTTTGATTATTAAAATGATTTTTCAGGAAAAAAAAAATCAGGATGTATAGATAAAATATTTTCCAAAATAATTATTAACGTTTTCTGTTCATTGTTATTAACAATTTGTTAATATAGTTTTCATGAATGCTTCATTATGTTTATTGTAAACTCCAGTATTTAATTATACTCGTGGAAAATGTAATTTTGTAAGAATTTCGAACATTGAAGTAATTTAGTATGTCGAAAATAGCGACTAATCGAATAAAAATCAGAAGTGAATTGAAATCGCAGTAGTGTTGTGCGGAAAACGTCAAAGCCGCTTATTCGATTACATTTTCTTAAAAGCACGAATAAAGTAAAAAATAGCAGTTAACAGAACTCGTTGCTTTCGTGTCGAATCCTAAATACAAGCAAATGTAGTGCTCTGGTTATGTCAATAGCTGTTGAACGATCAACGTTTAACGACGCAGAAGAACGGAAAATCTCTTTTGAGAAAACCTACTGCGAGCTTCCCATAAAGCAAAAAAAATTGTTTATCCATTTTATCTCTGCATTTTACGCGTTGTCATTGTTCATTAAAATCTTGCAGCTGTACTCAAGTATGCCGTACATTAAGTTTTGCATAGGAGAGAGATAGGACTGGAGAGACGCGGTATGAGAGCTGAGAGTATTACATGCTCGCACGGGTTTGTTTTCCGGCGAATAACAAACATGTGGGAGACTACACCAAAAGGATTCTCGGTATTCAACACGGCTTTGATGCTTTTTCCTTTGTAGGTACATAATATTCTGTTTTGCACGATAGTTTGGGAATTAATTCCTCCGAACATTTTCATAATAATATCCTATTTGATGTATTCGTACCTTCGATTTCTTCGGGCGAAATCTCGTGAAGCAAAACATTTACTTTGACAAAAACGCTTTTCGTTGAAGACGTTTTTCCAGTCTAAAAATTGACTACTACGATCGTTCACCTGACAAATCGATAACAGTATACGCACAAAACATTAATTGCACTGCGGTGCCGTCGTGTGCATTGCGGTAGGTCACCATACACAGACGGGGGCGCAAATCTAGAAAGTGGGTCAGGGCGATTACGATAAGCCTGGTCGCCGATGATCCTCGACGCCCACATAAAAAACACTTCTTCTCCGTGCCCAGACATATCGATCGGTGTCCTCCCCCTGGGAAATTTCAGTACCCCGTCTTGTTGCACTTCGAGCAATCATAACCGAATGTCTGGTAAACACCACTAGACTCGAACGACGGTCAATGTCGGTGACCGGTATATTCTGAGGGTTACCGTTGTGGCTGGTTAATAACATTCAACTTATAGTGGCGTTTGAATACGTAAAAATAACCGCAAAACTGCGATAACACTGCAATGTGTCACCGTAGTGCATCAAAGATTACGAAATCAACACGGTATTGCATAAAAAATTAACGGCCAAAGATAAAAATAAAAGTGTTGCAGAATAATGCACTAGTGAATTATTGTACCTAATAACTAAGAGTCATTTTACTACTATGATGAATAATTTTCCATATTTAATTAATATTTTACTATTTAACAAGTAATTACTCTTAATCATTTTCTTAAACGAGTTGAGATAAAAACACAATGTCATCATTTTAATTCTGCATACGTGTGTATTTTTTTACTACAACTATATAAACAGTTTTAATGTCTAACCCTCTTAATAATGTTTAACGAGGATTAAAAATTAAAAGACAAATACAACATTTAGTGTGGCCCGAATTATGTCTAGGAAGAATAAGACAAGATGATAAAATATACTTACTCTAATACTTTTGTTCAATAATTTTATTAATCTTTCGCTATACTGCTTTTCTAAGAATATCGTGAGATTCGATTTTACATTTAAAATAACAATCCGTTTATATTTCTTTGTATTTCTATTTTAAATATTGGGAAAAAATAAAATATAAATTCAAAAAAACACTTCGATTCTCCTTACTATTTTACTATCGGCAATATAGAGATCTTTATCATTTTGAAGATGTGAAGTTTATACTAACTAAAATTTAGTATTTTACACATATTTAATCAGCGTTAATATGAAGTTGCAATAGTAAAAACCGTAACAAGCGTGTAAATGGAAATCTCGACAAAGTCCATTATTTTAACACCTAATTACAAACAAATATTAGTCCGAGTAAAGTTTAGTAAACAAGGAAACAACAATTAAATTCGCAGTTTCCAAGTTATTGTTAGTTTTGAAACTAGAGATAATTCTGAATTAGAATGTACACGAGTTCTTACCTGTGTACATCGATTCATAGTTTTAACAGAATTAGCTAATAAACACGAATAATGCTAATATTATTTCCTCGGAATTTCGACCAAACTAATAAAGTGAGAAAAGGACAGCGTAATGTTTTACTAGAGACTACTCCGAGTTTACTTGTGAACTCTATTGGAGTTGAAATAAACGGCGCCCTCAGTAAGTGCAAACGAATCATTCTGCGAATTATTACCTATGCGAAATAGTTTGAAAATAATGATAATTATCACTGACGGTCTTGAATTATTCTAATTAACTCGAACAACAATAATATAATGGTATTTCATAGATACTGCTTGTCCTTTCGCATAATATTATTATTTATTACACACTGTTTCGAATGACGACAAGCTTTTTGAAAGCCGAGATCGTCAAGAACCTTTTAGATTTCTAATAATCCTATTTAATGTGTACCCCGTATGAATTTTTAGCTTGTTTATGTGACATGTGAACACATTTAAAATGCAATTAGTCGGCTGAAACTTTTGGGGTAGCTCGACATTTGAGATTTTAAACGTTTTAATAGATCTTGACGTTTACTTAATAACGAAAATTAAATGTTGTCACCGCTTACCTTATAGGCGACAACTAGTTGCAATAATTTTGTGCCAAGTTAAATTTCATTTCAACTGTATGATATTATACTTAGTTTTCTGTACAAAAACGAGTAAATGTACTGTTAATCAACAAAGGTGTGTAATAGTGTTGATATAAAACACAGTTCTCTGAAAACTCGGTGAACATGTTTTCTTTATCATAAACAAAAACTGTTGGCGCGTAGATAATTATCAGGTAATTGCATTTGTCACACGTTATAACACAAATTTGTGAGATACAGCCAAAAACCTTCGAGGTGAAATCCTTTATATGAGTAACGTAGAGCAATTTGGAAACTTAATACAATTCTAAGAAGATTGTAAAAAGCAGTTGAATTTATTTATAAACCAATAATGTCGGTACTCGCTTATAATGAAGTGGAAATTGGGTTTTACTTTGCATAAACTTTTACATTCTTAAAACAACACGAGCAAAAGACTTACAATGAAACGTCATACCTTATAACGTTTCACGTTCTATCGTCTAAACTCGTATGGTTTCTGCTTGAAAAGTTCAGAATTTAAGACAAAATAATTTATGCTATTTTGATTTTTACTCACAAGTTTTGTCAAAATTAAACCGGCTATTACTAAAAATGATAAGCTGCTCTCACATTAAGCTTATTTTAGTTAAACGTCGTAGAAAAAAAAACAAATTCTGTATAATAACATTTTGAATTGATTTATAACCGAGTCATTTAGCGTTAATAAGGAGGGAATATTTTAACAAATGTGTTGTAATATTGAGCTGAGTATCTAAAAATAGAACTTTTATTTTTCAAATTATTTTATTATCATATAAAATATTATAGTTAACACTCTAATTATAAATGTTCAATTAAATGAATTAATTATATTATAATTTTTGCATTGTTATTTAACTTAACTATTAGAATTTTATAAAGCTCAATATCTTTTCGTCATAAAAAAACGTTTATCTAGAAATTAGGATAATTAAACTAGCGCAAGTTGTTTGGTTTGGTTGCTAGTGAATTATCTAACATTAATTAATTATGGAAATAAAATCAAAGTGGTTACCATTAGTCACTATCTTTTTTAATTGTACATGAAAGTTTTTATTTTAATACTAGTTAGATTTTTATTGTATTACTGTGTTACGTTCCGTAGGTACTTGACAAATGGTACGAGACGTTTAGTTAAGTATTTGCAATAAACACTATTTTTTTTGCGTGTGTACTATCAACAATTAACTACATCAGTTTTGTGTATAATTATTTTATAATTTAAGCGTACAAGTAAGTAATCACGACAAAGAGTAAATTTCGTGGAACTCATGCGTTTTTTTTTTTTTTGTAAATTTAATGACTCCTAAAATTTATTCAAATTTTACACCTTGAAATTCTGTTCGAAGAAATAGTCATTGTCCCTGCGATAACACAATTCAAGCATTTATAAACAAATTGTACAAATATTAAGAACTCTACAAAAAGTAATAAAGATACTAATGTAAATATGTAATGTTCATTTAGGTCATGAAATAATTGAAAATAGGAAAGCAAACGATAATTGCATTTTGTTTATCAAATAAATGTTTTGACTAGATTAAATTATTTTATTGTATTTAAATTATTTGCAAATTGGTTTCTCATTAAAAACAAACATCCGTTTGGGTATAATTTTAACTACTATCTTAACAGGACAATTTTATTTTTATTAATTCAATGTATTTTACATTTAAGGAATACTTACGTATATCAATTATTTTAGTATACGAGTTAAGTTCCGTTGATTTTTATGGGCAAATTTGTAACGTGTAGTATTTTTTAAAGAATTCTAGTTGTAATTATTGCAACGATGTGTCACTAGTCATGACTTTGAGATTAGTATCCAAGGGCCCCGAGATAACTGTAAGTTACTAACTTATGTATCCGTGACTATCTCGTTGCTCTTTCGGTCATTGGGACGTTAAAGGGGTGTCGACTTTAGGTGGCACGTGCGGGCGCTTGACCTACAAACGTGCATCATTATCGTAGACGTTAGATAACAGCTAAAAACTGGCAACAATTAGTAACATAATATTTTGGATCGGTATAATAATATTACGGTGTGGTGCGCGAGTGCGTGTGGCCGTCAGTAACCTTAGGGCCGTTCAAGGCTGTTAGACAGCATGTAGTGTAGTGGCACCGGACAAGCGTGCCGCATATATAACGCCGGCGCCGTTGATCCTGCAGCGTGCCCGCGGTCCGTCTCGTCCTCTTGTCGCGTTAACAGCCGCCGTTGTCGCCGCCGTCTCGTTGTACCCGTACGCCATTCAACACCGGAACAGACAGTGACACGCGCACTTTGCTGTCGCCACCACTGACACAACCCGTTCGACCGTCGACATGCGCCCAACGACTCTCTTCGTCGCCTCGCTCTTAGCCACCGCCTCGTGTCTATCCAGTGCAGCCTTTACTTGGGTCAGTATATTATATTTAACCAATTAAATAAAAAACACATTTCATTCAAAAGTAAATACGCGTTAACGCATACACACCATTGCGATTCTCCGAACCGGTCACTGGTAATTGTAACAGCATTTTTTTGTTTTAGCCCCAACTTCCGTTGCAGTTTGATTTTCCGGAAGAACAATCTTCAAAAGAACAAGGGCCGGCTGTTAAGTATTGCTCCTCGTGTGGTAAATATCAAAAATAATGTTTTTTTATTAAATGTACCGTATTAAATGCAAAAGGGGATCCTAAAAGTATCTGCTGGCGATTTAAACACTGGTGCTGCACGTTCACGGGTAAATTGTTGGACGTTTTTTTTATGCTCATTACTGATTTGAATTGACAACTTTGGTTGTATGCCTTCGAGTAAAATAATTGTGTCGTATAATTAACGACCGTTCAAAATCGGACTCGACCACAACGCGGTTTGATCGACCGGAACTCAGTCGATCAGTGATAACCTTAACCCAACGTGTGTTACGGTGAATTGTCTTAGTCTGTATGAATATAAATTATGTTAATTGATCTGCAAGTATTACACAAGTAAGGTAATATTTTAGATATATCTGTTGCATAGTATTTTTTTTGTTTTAAATCCCAAATGAAGTTTACCCTTTAGCGAAATCTCTAGTATTCTGCAGTACAATATTTTTTATGACCCAATTTAAATTAGAGTAGAGTAACATCGATTACCTCGTATTTCTGGCGTGTAAATAACACACTGGTATTGTCGTTATTGCATTGTTTTGTAAACGAAAGTTGGGTGTGGGCATCTCTCACTCACTACGGTAGTAAAATTCAAGTGTGTTTTGGTTATCTATTTTTTTTTTTTTTTTTTTGTCGTGAANTTTTGGTTATCTATTTTTTTTTTTTTTTGAGTATCGAGTAGAGTTCAATCGAGCAATGCGCAGTATTTCCAAATAATTATATTCACCGCGTTGTTTATCTACAAAATACATTATTACAACGTAGGCCTAATGACCGTTTACTGGCAACACATACTTGTTTGCATAACATTTTCCCAAACGCCGAGAAAGAATTTTTGAGCATACTTTGATATGGTAACATGTACAAGTGCTTGTTGCGTAACCGGTAGAGAATCTGAGAGATCGTTGTCTTATTTCAAGTACACGGAAACTACTTTATCGTTATCGTCAAAGTTTTTTATTAATTCTACTTGCAACAATTCAAATATGTCTGTTTATGTATTAAAACTTCCATCAAATAACAAAAACTATTATACTGATCATGAATACTTCTTCGTTTCACTTTAAGTATATTTAGTCTATTTTGTTTAATTGGTCCAACTTTATTGAATAATGCGTTTTTTTATTCATTACAAAACTTAAGTAGGCCTATTCAGATGAATTGCATTTAATGTTTTGAATAATCCGAGTCGTTAAAGCGTGATGGTTTCAATTAAAATTGTGTTATGTTTATGCAACAGTTGCAGTTTATATCAGCTGTTTGTTTTAGTGGCAGTAAAATAACTATCTTGGTAAATACAATTACCTAACTGAACCTGATATGTATTGTCAATAAGTTATAGTTTTATTTTAAAAGAGCTGATAGCTGAACAAGTGTACGAAGGTACAACAGTTTTGTCGCTAGTATTTATTGTTATTTAACAGTTAAATCCATTGTTTTATTGACCTATTCTAGCTTTGAGTTGTGTAATAACATGCAAATGCCTTTCAATGTTTTATTTTGCGCGCAAAATTCAAAAAGTTCGTATTGTTTTTATGGGATCTAAAACTTAGTTAAAAACTAAATCAACCTTCATTTTAACTTTTAATTATTCTTTAATTAAATTTCTAAAAGTTTATAAAGAAAAATTATCAATTCTACATTTTTTTTAGCATATAGCTCTGGGTGTAATAAAATAGTTAAAGATATAAAACTCCATAAAATCCTTTTAATTTTCAACAGAATTCTTATTATACAAAAGACCAACAAAAAAAAAACATTGTTTCAAGTTCTATTATACAATACAAGTTAATTTTTTATGGAAGTTTATTAAAAGACTATCATGAAACTCTCTTCCGGTAGATAAAATACTGTAATAGTCGTTATATAACATATATCTTGACATTGTAAGATGCATTTCGTTAAATTACCTTGAACTTACTAAATTCCATTCCTCGAGATCAATAAAAATTATTGTCTTAAAACAATAACAAAAAAAAAAAAATCGTTCTTTTATTACTAGAAAAACAGTGTGGCATACAACCTGAAGATAGACGATCGATATTTGCTAAGATCGTAAACGGCAAGGACGCTCGTGAGAATGAGTTCGGTTGGGCTGCAACTTTGGCCAGACGAGGTCAATTTTATTGTGGAGGAACTTTGATTACAAAAAAACATGTACTCACCGCCGCTCACTGTGTCGAATCGTAAGTGTCTCTCATAATATATAATAGGGTGTGTACATGATCTTCATTTATCAAGGAACAACCTTTGTGTAAAATATTATGTCTATAAATAATTAAAATCACTAATCTGCACTGAATGTAACTAATTGTAACCAGTTAACAATACACGATTTTTTATTAAAAGTTTTAGTCCAAAAGACCTCACTGTTACCATTGGTGAGCATGATAGGAAAACTGATACCGGTCGTAAGTCGGTTCATCATGTGCTCAGAATTCACAGGCATCAAGACTTCCGTTTGAGTACATTTGACAATGACATAGCTATTCTTGAGCTTCGCGAACCCGCTCCTCTAGAAAGTCCTTGGGTCAGACTTGCTTGCTTACCAACGTCTTGTCAGTAAACAAATGATAAAAATAGTCTCAAAACAAACGAATGAAAATTGTTTAACTCTATGTTTACAGCTGATATTTCATACGAAGGATCTAAAGGCACAGTGATCGGCTGGGGAAGACTGGGAGAACGTAAAAAATCATCCAACATTCTACAAAAGGTCGAAGTTCCAATAATATCTAACGAAGACTGTAAGGGAATGGGATATGCACCAGAAAAAATTACCGGCAATATGATTTGTGCAGGATTCAAAGAAGGCCAACAAGATGCCTGTCAGGTATAAATTTATTACATTGTTATATTCATGTCCGTTAATATTAATACAAAAACTTACAATTTAAAAAAAAAATCCAATATTAAATACTTAAAGTGTATAAAATTGTACTGGCACTAAAACCCAATCAGTTTCGATAGACACAAATGATTACTTTAAGTAAAACAAAAATCACTTTATTTTTTATTAGACTCGGTTTATTATCCGAATTGCATAACTCATGATTATGTTGTCTTATTTTCTCGTGTAGGGTGACAGTGGTGGACCAATGCATAGGATCATAGATTCATCGAATATCTTTGAAGTAATCGGTGAGTTTACTTGAAAACGAATTGTTTTCTTTAATTGTCTATAATCAATTATTTAATTGTCAGGTATCGTTTCTTGGGGAAAAGGTTGTGCCAGAGAAAATTATCCTGGAGTTTATACCAGAGTCGCCAATTATTTGGATTGGATTCAAGCACGCACTGGAGACGAGTGTATATGTGGATCGCCCACCACAACGTCGGAAGAGAGTTACTAAATGGAAAGATAAATACTCTCCAAAATGTTTTGCATTGTAAATAGCACGGCACTGTACCATTATATATTATATTAATATTTATGTACTATATTCATCACCAATTAATTGTTACCACCGAGTACCACGGATACCATTATCACACAATTATATAAATTCTAGTCAATATGCTGTTTGCTTTAAATGAGTGAATATTAATATAAAACGATAAATCAAGTTTTATGTATCATGAATATTAAAAGTTTTCTAATTTAACTCAAACAAAACATGTTTTGTTTGTTTATTTTAAAAAATTATTCTCAACATAATTAGTTAGATTAAACTGTTTATATATTTTTTTTTAGTTTCAAAAAATTACTTTATTACATAATCTTTTGACTGTTAATATATATTTTTAAATTTTTGACTGAGCGATTAAAAACAGTTAGAATTTTCACATTTTATTTATTTATAATAATTATATATTAAGAATTTTATTTTAAGACAATCATAGATAATCATTTATTGTTTTTTTAGTTATTACTGTGTAATATATATTATTATGTTGAACATTATAAAACATATTTGTAACTAGTATTTAATTTGACTAATATTTGCTTTGATGATATCACTCAATGTATAAACGTAGCAAGGAGATTAATATATTTAAAGGTTATTTACAGTGAGCAATAAATAAAAAGATTTTACGAATTGAATCGGCACAACAAACAAACAAACAGTATGACAATTATTCATTTTTAGGTTTATATAATTAAAATTTAAAAAAAATATGATAAATGTTTAAATGTATTAAAAAAAAAAAAAGAATTCGCCAACTTTTAGTTAGTTGTTTTTATAAAAAATACATTATATTTTATAAATAAGTGGCTCACTCTATAATTTCAAAAAGTCTATTCCTTAACAATTGTATAGAAAAAATTGAATAACCTCGAAAATCAACCGAATTGTTTTCAATTTATCGTCATAGTCATGGCAAAATCTACTTTGCGATTTTATAAATTTTCGGAATAAAAAATAATTATTATTTCTCAAGATATTTGAGCATTAAAGAACCCAATTACATTGTTAGTTATAAAAGAATAATGTTTTCTTGTATTCCTCATTGTAAAAAAAGATTCATTTATCGTTGATCGTTAAATTTCTATTGAAATAATAATTTTAAAAATTTTATTTTCATTTTGTTATTTATCTTAATATATCAGTAATCATTTTTTTTTTAGCTCCGACGCTTGTTGTCCTTTTTAGGTTACTAAATTAATTTTTTTAGTGGCGCATAAATATGTAACTCACTAAAAATGATCTAATTAAAAAAATGATTGATCGATAACAACTTTTTAACCACTAATTCAGGAGTTATACATATTTTTATACATAGGTCGGAGGTGTAGCGCTGCAAAAAATGAGCGTCGATAAAAATAACTTAACCCTCACCTCGTCTCCGGTCTATATTTTAAAGTGTATGTAACTTCTGATCTACTAGTTTAAATGTTGTTATTTGGATTATTTTATAGTATATGAACTAGTTAAATAATGTGTATGTTGCAATTTAAACAAAATCATATTAGTACCTTTAAAACGAATGAGTCATAAACTTAAAAAAAATATTTAATTACTACAAAATCGAGAAATTAATAATACTAAACAAGATAAAAATTTCAAAAGTATTATTATTTTAGGAGAAATTTAGTGGTTAGTAATAAATCAATTATCTTTTTTACAGGGTAATTGATCTACAACTTAAGAATATCAAGTACCATTTTCAAAAAAATATTTTAATAACCTTAAAATTATTTTAATATTTGTTGAAAATTCAATATTATCTGGTTCTGTGTTCATTGTCATGTTTTCTTACATTTTTCGTTAAAAGTTTTTGGATTACATGGTCTAAATTTTTTCAAAATATAGAGTATTATCGTTTAGGAGTAAACACTTCCCCTTTCACCGAGAATATGTCACTAGATAAACTTTTCTTCTTTCTGTAAAAAAGTCATTTAATATATTAAATATTAGACTGTATGATGTTGATATTCTTATTTTCATTGTTGTCAAGGTATACAATGTTTACTAAAATTTTTTAGAACTAAGAAGTTCTATTTATAAAAAATAAAAATATATTTGTACCATAAGGTACTATCTATAGAAGATTATTGTTTTGTTTGTAAAACTCTGAACTCAATTGTTTTTCTCAAATTAAATTTTGCATTATATGTATTAATTTAAGACCGCAGATGTTTTAGAGCATTTCAAAAATTTAAAAACAAAAATATTTTTTTGTTTCTTTGTTAAAACCGCTTCTGTATTTAAGGTTTTATTTGAATTTTCGTAAAACATATGTATCAAATGACATTGTTTCTAGTATATTGATAAAAATTATATATTTAATTAATATTTTTATAAAGTTATTTCAATTATAAAATACAAAATAAAACAAAAAAAACATAAATTAGTCTTATTGTGGACTGCTTACTTATAGTAGTACAATTATTGTTGAGTACAAAAATTAGTACCAACGTGTGTTACTAATATTCCGAAACAAATTTAAAATGAAAAATAACTTTAAATAAAGTTTTCCACTAACATTTTTTAACAATCTTAATGCATTAAAATAAAAATTGTTAAACAAATAACTTTTTTCCAATCATTTTTACAGAAAATATTGGTGTACTAAAAATAAAATGTTACACATTGTGTTGGATTTAAAAATATTTTAAATCTTATTTTCTATTAAAAATTGTGGTTTTTATATTATTAAACAAAATTTTCAGGACACTTACTATTTTTCTTCAAACTATAATCTACAAAAAATATAATAGATTTTTTACAAGTAGGTATATAATAATTAATTATAAAAATGACACTCTATATTCTTATTAATACACTTGTTATTTTATATTCAATGATTTAAAGTTGTATATATTCAGTTGGGTTGGGGTTTTCGGTTTTTTGTTTAAACATTTATAGATTCACCGAAAAATTAAATAAAAAAACAATACAATTCAACTATTAAAATTACTTAAAAAAATATTTTGACTTCATAATTCCCAATATCAGTAACTAAATATGTAACATCAATTTATTTACTTCATTAATATTAACCCCTCTTTTTTTCCTATTTATCTTTCGTTCTTTCATTTACAATTTCTTTGATCTTTTCGTTGACTATATCTATATGATTACATGACAACTTAATCTGATAGATATACTCATTAATGAATAACAGTGATATTTGTAGGTACACAGTTATATTTTGCAGAGTGGACTATTGCAGACCCTCCGTCAAAACTGGTTATTCATTTACTTTCTTATTATAATTATATCCGTTAATATGAAAAACATTTTTTCTCCGAAATTTTTATATAGAATTCTATATAAAAAATTACTATAACTATATCAGTAACTGTACAAGAAATGTAAAATAAATGTTTAAATTTATTTTACACAATTTTAATGCATTGGGTATTTTAAATTTTTATTTGAATAGAAATTTTGGAAAAAAAAAATCTTTATTTATAAAAATGTTTAAAATTAAGATTAGATAATTGAAAATTTTATTTCTTAAAAATGTAAAATAATCAATAACCAGTTTTGAATATAATTATTATAGTTAAATCGTTTTTAAATTGTAATTTTTATAAAAATAATTACTAGTGCTACTTAATTTGAACGCTCTTAATCTTATTAGACTATAAATAAAATATAATATAATTAGATAGAAACAATTTTCAATTTTTTTTTTCTAATTTATAACATATTTTTTTCTAGAAATTATATCAAATAAAAAGGAATTATTTCGTTTATTTTTATTTTAACTGAACTAGTAATAAAATTTTTGTTTACGTTATTTACAATCTATTGTAGTTTTTAGTAACACACTTTTATATTTTATAATTTATTATAAAGAAAATAGCACACTTTTATTTCTACTAACAGATATATCATATTTGAATAGTCTATCCATTTCGAATAACCTGTTTCGAGCCGTTTTTACAATGTAACTGTACTGTTTTAATTTTTTAGATTCCACTTTTAGATCTTTAAAACACTGCTTATTATTTTCTCCTTGCTGATAAGTTTTGATTTCATATCTTTATTGCATCAGGATAAATTAGCCTAACCCAACCAATTAAATTATAAATTTTAAGCTTATATTTAAACATATATACTTAATTATGTGAAATTTCTGTTTGTAAAAAGTCTTAAACCTTAAAATAAAATAAAAAATTTACAAAAATATTGTAAACCTTAAAAGTTATTTTGTTAAAACTAATATTTTTCAGTGATAATAACTTTACAGCAGAATGGAATTTGTTGAAAAAAAATATATTAAAAAAGGTGTATAATTATTCTAATATGAAGATAGGTAAATGAGAAACTATAAAAAAAAATGTGCACTAATCTTGTGGTCATATACACTTTTTACTTGACTACGTGCAAAACTTATCATTAACAGATACTTTGAAAATTATTAAAGAGAAATCGAAAATTGTATTAATATTTATTTAAAAAAATTATTGTCATCTAAACTTACAGGAATATATTTCATAAACTAGTAGTTATGTTGTGCAATGATGTATATAATTATACATTTGTTTCCTGTTGTATTAAAAACAATTATTTTTAATTTAAAAAACGGTTTTAATTAATAAGACGAAAAAATTGTTTGAAATATATTTATTTTTTTATATTTAATATTTTATGTATTGTATTTTAATGGTTTACTTGTATTATACAAGTGTAATATAAAAACAAAGTCATGTAGTTAAAGATCTTGAAAAATCTCATAATACTTTCTAAACATATGATAGTGTTATGTTACATTGTTTTTTTTTTACTATAGAAACAAGTTTTAAGTATGTAGGTAATAACTAAAAAATATTTATGAAAAGCAAGTACCATGTAAACAAATAATAACCAAAAAGTAGAAACTCAATTTTAAATTAGTGTATAAATAATAGTAAAATATTTGAAATAATGTAACATGTAAAAATAACTTATGTTAAGAAAGTAAATTTTAGTGTTCAATAATAAACAATAATTTTTTTTCGGTAGTTCTAATTGATATTAAATTAATACAATAGAATTACAGGTTTATGTGTCAATTGTTCATGAAAAAAAAAGTGATTCTAATATAATTTAAAATATTATTTAGATTTTTTTTTTTAAGGTTACAATTGTGTTTGTGAATCAGTAAAATTTTAAACGGACTTTTACACATACATGATCAAAGATGTTTGCTCCTCCTCCAAATAATTCAGATTGTAGGAGGATTTAAGGGCTTAAAGGATTTAGAGTCCAGAAATTTTAATAACTTCCCCTAAAATGAAATTTATTTGTACTGTTATTTTATGTAATCCTTTGGTCCACTTAACTGAATCATTCAAGGCCCTTAAAATGTTTACTAAATCTCCGCATGGGCTACTATGATTCGAGATTTGAGTTGTAATGTATAAAAATTAAAAATACAAAGTTCAGTATTGAAAAAACTATGTGATTTGGCTTTAAAGTCCAGGTGCGAAAATATTTTCTCGCCAGCAAGTTTTCAGTATAATATTTTAATTAATACATATTATTATTATTATATAACATTGTTATTAAAAGATGTAATTTTTTCTTTGTAGTTTTCAACTTCGTAATCAGATTTTTAAGATATAAATGTTATTATTTATAACACAATTTTGGTAATTTTGCATCGTTTGTTGATGTGTAGATTAATTTTCAAAACAATAACTTTCTTTTTAGTTAAATTAAACAGCGAGTTTAAAAATAAAGGTTATCTTGCTAAGGTTATAAATATATTACTTTTACTTAAAAATTATTACTGAATTAAAAATCAGATTTTAATTAAAATCTGAATAATTGTACCCTTTATTATCAAACGTCTACAAAAAAGTTTCTTTAGAAATGAATATTTTACAATAGCTCATTATCAATCCAACAAAAGTTATCTTATTTTATCTTCGTGTAATCAAGATCTTGGTTTTTAACAGACTAAAGTTTTTTAATATATTACATTTGAGCTGCATTAAACTTTTTAGTAAAATTACTGTTATTATAAGTTAAAAAAACTTTAAACAGATTTATGTTATTTAATTAAATAAGAAAGTTATTACCGTGTAAGTACTGTTTCGGTCAAAAGCCCTCATTAAAACACATTAGTGTATTTGAATTTTTACATGGCAGTAATGTTTGCACTGATCGGATGTGCGGTTTGCATATAAAATTGCAGAAAGGGAAGTGTCCAGCAAGTAAGTGGTCGTAGATTTCTATAAAACGATACCTATACGTTGTGTGTGTAAATGTGTTTAGAAAGAAAATCGGAACGTGTTATGGCGGGGCGTCCGTCAAGGTCACCGGAGTGTCCAACAAGAAAAAAGTGAGAGTAGTGGCGGCCGCGTGCCGCCACCGTCCGCTACCGGTATACACTTTTACTTGCGTCCGGTCTGCTGGCGGGTGCACTTTCTTCCACCGCAGTCGCACCACAGTCTCCGTAACAATTGTCGCTTCCGTCGCTATTTCATCCGTCACCAACTCATCACCGTTTCGAACCATATACAATTGTTTATGTCGATAAGTTGAGCGAGGTGAACATTACGACGTCCCACGCGAGTTTATGGTGCGCGACTGTCGACGATGCGGCCGCCGCAGCTGCAGCTGCTGCACGTCCTTTTCTGCTTCACGTATATCACGGTGGTCACTCCCTTGGTGACAATCGACAAACATGCGAAACCAGTCACGGTGAGTATGGTAGTTAAAGTGCCTAAATAAATTCCTATGACAACCATAGGAATTCTACTACAAATTGTAGTAACGGATTCTAAAGCTCAGAGCCTAATTTATTTTGCAATTTAACTTGCATTTGTAACGGCAGAGAAACTTTTTTCACGCAGTTTTACTTGTTTTTAGAATCATAAGGTTTTTTTTCAACTCAATTGTGGATTATCATAATTGAGAAAAGAGTTCAATTTTCATTCGCTTTTAAGACAAATCTGTAAAAAAATTGTCTTCGAATCGATATTTTGTCTCGCGAGTAGCTTTAATACCATGTAATCGTAAATTAATTCCTCTTTGAACCCCATTAGTTATGCAGATATAAATTAAACTTAAACTATAAAAATTTCTTCAAGTTAAAAAAAATTTAAGTAAATGATTTTTATTTATACAATATACTTATATTTGTTTAATAAGTTAACTAGTATTTTCTACATTTAAATATTACGATAACTTAATTTTTGGAAATTTAATGTATTTAAAAATAAATTATGTCAAGCTAAGTGTCTAGACACTTTTATAATCTAATTAATTATTAATAATTGAGTGATGTATAAAAAATAAATTGAACGATTTCTCAGGTGGTGAGAAATCGCTCATGACATTCCTTCTATGGTCATCATTATTAAAATTGCGTTTAAATTTTATCTTTCTCATTCAATTATTTGCCTCGTCAGATTTTATAACATGTCTGTCTTTGAATAGACGATGGTCACTGTTTACTTTCTGCTAGTAAAAGTAGCAATTGATTGATATGAATAGAAAGACATACCAATGCCGATGATATGACGTATTTAACTACAACTATTACTTAGTTTTACCGTTATTTTTTACTCGCTTTTTTCGGTTTCGTGTATTACAGAATGATCATTACGACACCGGAATTCTTCCACCACCGGTTAATTCTTCCTCGTCGACCAGTCACCGTGATAAGAGGATATTCTTTGATGATCTTTTTGGATCAGTTAGTTATGAACCGGAAGAAAAATTAACAATCGAAAATTGCACATGCAGTAAGTAAAAACAATGTTATTAATAACTATAGAAACTTCAATGTTACCTTTACTTATATGTAAATAAATATTGTAATCAAATATTTGGCTTTTGAAGTACACGTGTGTCTTAATATTTCAAAACATTTGCCATATTGATAAAATATACTTTGACCTTTATATGGGAAGAGTAATGATATTTAGACTTATTTTTTGATCTGGTTACTTAAGTTTGATTATTTTATACGCGTATTTCATAATGTTTTTGATTTTGCTCGGAAATATTTTTATAAATTATCAAATATTGGATAAAATTGGAATTTATTTTAGGTAAAGTAAAATATAATTTACCGAATTATATTAGTAAAAATATGAATAATTTCATATAAGACACTAACGCACAATTATTACTACTTTTTTTTTACTGTAGATTTTTCTATTTTCTCCAGTAGAAACCACTGACTCAAGATAACATATACTTAATGGTTAATTTTCTATTTTTGTTGTCTATAATAAAATTGTGATTACATTAGCTATCCGATATTTGCAAATGTAACTTATACAGGTAATCTGTAAGAAAGAACGGATGTCTCGATATAACCTTGAGAGTATTTTCAAAAACAACACATATAATTATGTAGAATTATTTGACGCCTGTGGGTTTCGCTTGTTAAAGTGAAATCAGGACATACATACTATCATAACTATATTATAATACTAATGGGTGCTCGTCCTTACAATAATAATACGTTTGTTTCTTTAGATTGTGGAGTATCTAATCAAGAAATCCGCATAGTAGGCGGACGACCCACTGGAGTGAATAGATACCCTTGGGTGGCTAGGCTTGTTTATGATGGCCATTTTCATTGCGGAGCATCGCTCATCAATAGCGATTACATACTTACAGCTGCTCATTGTGTGCGGAAGTAAGTAAAAAATCAGTGATACTATTTGTTCAATGATTTTCTATTCGATTTTACTATACGATACCGTAACGAGCGGTTTAATTGCATAAGTCTTTTAAGCGAGTACAGCCATCGCTTTTATAAGAATTTCGAACATTTCATTTTAATTATAATTTCGATTAACAATTTCTTTAACCCGTAGTAAGATTAGTACTTAAAATGTTAAAAGTACAACGCCAAGTTATTTCAAACTACGTTCTAAGCATTCAAAAACGTAGCATGATATTCCAATATAAAATAATTAAAGTAACTGTAAATGACTAATGTAATTTGCTAGAATTGAGTCATCAGTCAATTCTTGTATTGTTAAGTGCTATTAACGACGGATTTTTCATTTTAAGAACATTACTCCGAATTTACGTGTAGTATTAAGGTAACGTTTCGTTACATATTTTTCAAAGTATTATGTCGTTTAAGTGTGAATATAGAAAGTTCGATTATTTTAATCTTCGTTCGTAGATAATATGTTCAGTACGAATGAAAGGGCTTAAAAAAAATATATGTCACATAAAACAGACATACCTAAAGTTGTGTCCGAAAAATATTTTTAAATAATTTATTCATTTTTGAAAAAGTCATGTCGATTTAAAATGAAGAAGTAAAAATATACAAAATGTTCAAAAAGTAAGGAAACAGGTCAATTGTAACAAACAATCAGACCAATAGAAACCCGTTTCTTTACCTTTTGAACACTCTACATATATGAATTGCCGATTTTAATTGTAGTTTAAATTTATATAATTTGATTTGTTATTTTTTTTGTGTTCCTCCTATTTGCGTTGTAATGATCACGATGATAAAGGAATGGGTCAATACTTATGAAAGTGTTTCAATCGCGTTCAGAATAATAAAGACGAGTAGATATGAAAAGATACAATTAATGGTTCTACTTTATTAAATTATAATGATAAATTATCGGATACCGAGGTATTCTTGGAATAACGATGGTCTCCTCTCTGATATCCAGTCGAAATACTTATCAATAAGGTATTAATTGGTCAAATAAGTTTAGAAATTAATTTATAACTGAATTTAATCTATTGCTTTATTATTCCTTACTCAGATTCTTTATACTAATAATTTAGGATAATTGAAAACACTTAATTTGAACTTCGCTGTGAGTGCTCTAAACTTAATGAAAAGTCTCTGCATCCAAAAATGTGAAACTCGTATTTTTTTTACGTGTATCGTTAATAAGCACACACGTTTGATATTTATTTCAATAATATTTTTTTTATTAATATTCAGGATTTTCTTAAAGCAATAATTTTAAATAAATGATTCACTCGTAATGGACCAAGACAACACGGCTAATAAAAAATTTTGCTAGGTAGGATTTGATAAAAATTGAACCGATTTCAGTGGTTTATATATCAGTAAAATGCCTCCAATCTAAGGACATTGTAATCAGCGCTTTTTGTAAATTTTATTTTATTGGATTAAATAAACATTATATGATTATAATAATAGAATAGCATTGTTAATAATAATCAAATTGACATTTATGTAAATAGTAAGACATATTTAAAAACGATATAAATATTATGACAGATAAATTAGTTTACTTTCTATTAATAGATTATAAAATTTTCATTTATAATTGTGAGATTTGTCATGCAACATATTAACTGAGAAGTTATCAGTTTTATCAGTGTAAAACTTTGAATAGATTGGAGTATTATTTAGAATATTTACAGATATATCCATGTTTTCAGTTTTATGCTGATATATTGGACTCGTTGCAGAGTTTATCTTTGAAGCGATAAAAATGTTATAATTATACTGCTTTTGTGTAGTGTAGTTGTAAATATCCATACTAAAATAAAACAACTTTAAAAGACGTAGACTATCAAACGGTGGAAAAACCCGATGTAGCTTAACACTAGCAGCCATAAAAAGTTCACTCAAAATTGAACTATACAAGGTCAATATTTTGAATGAAGAAGCTCATTATACAAAACAAATTTACAAAAAAACAATAGAAACTGAAAATTTTTTAGAAAATTAAAACAGACAAAAAATATGGAAAATTAGCAAAACTTGGTGACCAATTATATATTAAGAAAAAAGAAGATAAAATTATAAAGTAAGTAACATAATATGCGACAAAGCCATATTAGATATATCGGAAAATTGTCGGTGCAGAAAAGGAAGATTAAAATATAAAAAATGTCGAAAACCACCAATAAATCTAAACACGTACAAAACATTAATGCCAAGCAGACATTCTATATCAAAAATAGCAAGGCATTGTACCTACAATAACAAAAAATAATCATATTGATATTATCAACTGATTACCAAAAATAAATTCAAGCAGAAAACAAGACTTGTTTTCTACTTGAATTTATTTACTATACTTAGTATAGCCGACACTATAGTTATAATTTTGGACTCGTTTCTATAGCTCCAAAGATAAACTCTGCAACGAGTTCAAAATATCAGCATAAAACCGAATACATGGACATATCTATAAATATTCTAAATAATACTACAATCTATTAAAAATTTTACACTGGTAAAATTGATACCTTGGAATATCACACATCCTTAATGAGATTTCGATAATTCAAAATGTATAGATTGAAAAAAAAAATGGATTTGATGTTAAAAAAATCTCTTGAGAATTTCAATAAACAAAACCCAACCCAGCACAGGGGGGTCGCGGCACAGTAGTGACGTGGCATAGATGGATCAAGTATAATGATATCTGACAGTGATTAAAATCATTATTAAAAAAAAAACGCTTCGATGCAAATCTTTAGATAGGTTTAATTTTAAAAAATTGGTGGATTATTCCAAAAGTTACATGATCTGCTAGTTCATTATTAATATCCTAATTAAGATAAAGTATGTCGAATGAAAAAGGGATTATTAAAAAATATTATTTCTCATAAAAAAATAATGTTAATCCATACACTTTTCAATATGTCATAGAATTATAAAATCAATAATGTAAAAAATAAAATCGAGAATTTTCACACAAAAATAGCATTCGGTAGCCATTTTCACTGTGAAGATAAAATAAAGTCCGAAAATTTTTTTTTTCATGATAAAGTATATTACATTAGCTTTAATTTAAGATATATATAAAAGTGTCAGACCTTCCGGAACATTCTCAAAAATCAAGTTGAAAATAATAATTATTTGTGAAAAAGTTGTCATTTTAAATCCCCCCCCGTGGGCAAGTAAAGGGTCACATATAAAAAAAAATATACCAAATGAAAGTTAATGATATCATGCATCTTTATAAAAAAAATTATATTAATTTGGTTATTTTTAAAAAAGTTATAGCAATTTTTAGTAAAAAAAATTAAAAAATTTTTGAAAATTAGCGATTTTTAAATTTGTAATTTTTTTGGAGGTTTCCCCCATTTACGGGGAACGAGGGGATTTTTTTCAATTTTTGAGGGTAATGTCTTCGACTAGATACGATTTGTGATCTTTTGAAAGAAATCGGTTCGGTGAGAGCTGAGAAAAAGTGGTAACAGACACACAAAAAACACATCTAAGTAAAACCAATACCTTCTCAGCTTCGCATCGCAGCTAAAATATTTTACTATGAAATGAAATTATGCCCTTTTGTCTAGTTAAACACATTAAAAGTTTTATGATTTTGGTAATGGAAATCAAAATTAAATAATCAATTTGAATTCTTGTTTTATGTAATTTTTACGAAAATGCTCATATTACGATGTAAAAATTAACTGCTTAGTATATATTTTAGTCTCTTTATTAGTTATTTGATTGTGTTTTAATTACTTTTATTATATTTTCAACAGTAAAAACGTGTGTGTGTAACAAAAAAAAAAAATTATTAGTATCCTAATAACTTATAGGAGAAAGTTTAGAGTTGTATTTTATTTATTTAACAACTGTTGTATATGTTTTTGTATCCAATGTGACTTGTATGGTTAATGTTTTTTCGAATGCGCGTATCATAAAATTTTAATTTTTAATAGTTTCAGTATATGTTGAACAATATTTAATAATATTTTAATCTACTTTGGTCGGTTTTGAGCGTAATAATGTTAATAACTGATAAGTTATTTATTTCTAGGCTAAAAAAATCAAGAATTCGTGTAATATTAGGTGATCATGATCAAAGCACAACATCTGATGGTGAAACAATTACTAGGATGGTGGCATCTATAGTTCGACATCGAAATTTTGATGTAAATTCATATAATCATGACGTGGCCTTATTAAGGTTACGAAAGTCAGTTCCATTTTCCAAAGCAATTCGTCCCATTTGCTTACCCGCGTCTAGTAAGTGACGAATATCAAGTTTATATAGTTTTATAATTATAGTTGTTTGTTAGAATATTGATGAAAATTAAATTTTTGTAATAAATTACAGCTCGAGAACCATCCGGAAAAATGGGAACAGTAGTTGGTTGGGGACGAGTATCCGAAGGTGGTTCCCTAGCCAATATTGTGCAGGAAGTTCAAGTACCTATCTTGTCTTTGGCACAGTGTAGAGCGACGAAATACCGACCGCAGAGAATTACTAATAATATGATTTGTGCCGGAAGAGGCGTGGAGGATTCTTGCCAGGTAAATAATAAATAAAATAAAATTGTTTTTGTTCATTGAATTTAATAATGTATCTAGTAAAATTGAATGTCATAAAATACCCACTTACGAATATTAAGAAATTTATATGTGTATTATTAGTACATACAAATATTAGCTTTATAATTATTTATTATTAATTATTATGATTTAAACAATAGAATTAGCTTGATATTAATAGCGTAGAATCTAACATTTTTCAATTTTATATAGTTGTGAATTGCCTTGTTTTTGAAGTAATCAAGGAAAACTAAAAGTAATTGGTTGCTTTCATACATTGTGGAAAGCTTCGTAAACTTGTGGATTTTCTTTTGTATATTTTTATAATTTGATAACATTTTAATTATTTATTAAAAAAATAAACAAATAACTAAAAAAGCATTGATCCCTGAAAAAATGAAAAAAAAACTTTATTTTCAACTCTCTATAATGTGTTAGAAGAACACATGATTTAAANTCATTTCTCTATAATGTATTAGAAGAACGCATGATTTAAAAGAAAAATCTATAATTACACATTTGTTTTTACAGGGTGACAGTGGTGGCCCTTTGTTGATAAATAGCGATGTTGAAGACAAGTTAGAAATTGTCGGTAAGTTATTAGCAGATGAAATATTCTTATTAAATTATAGTAATAATTTTTATTATTTAAAAGTTATTTTTACGATGTGGTGAATTTTTAAAATTTCCTGCCGAACTCCAGACATAAAATTTAGATTGTATAATTTATAAATTAAACAATTAAATTATTTTTAGATGGGCTTAAATATTTATTTTGATTCATTTTGAATTAGGTAATTTTTTAAGTATTGGTTCAATGTAATCAAATTACAGTTTATAACGTTACCAACAATCAATAACTTAAGTATCGTTTGATTAAATGAAATTGTATTTTAATTTGATTTTAAGTTTAGTAAATTTATCAATCATTAGCAAATATTAACTATACTTAACTAATTTGATTTAGGAATAGTGTCTTGGGGCGTTGGCTGTGGACGACCTGGTTATCCAGGAGTATATACCAGAGTTACTAGATACTTGGATTGGATACAGAATAATATGCGAGATACTTGTGCTTGCATAAAATAGTCCAATAAATGCAAACGGAGAAAAGTCCTTGGTGTACCATAATATTTTAAATTATTTATTTATAGAATTTTTTATTTTATTTTTAGTGTTAAATAAAATACTTTACAATGATCATTCGTAGCTTATTAATTCAAATAAATTTACTTGTTTATTATTTATAAACCAAAAAATTTATATAGGTTTATAATTGAAAACAAGTAAACGTGTATTAAAAATATATGATCAGTGTGTTCACGATTAGGTTGGATTTAATAAAACAACGGAGAGTTTCAGAAGTAGAAATATGTTCTATATGTTCACTAATATGTTTTGCTATAGATATTACCCAGTAGGTATATAATTGCATACATTTAGTCCAATTAAATTATTTAAATTAATAAGATTGTGAGTTTCGGAATACACAGAAAACATAAAGCAGCTATCCAGTAGAAAACTCAAAATAAAATTTAACCATTAAATTAATATTTAAAGTAGGTTGAATTTATTATATTATATCTGATTTATTAAAAGTAATTGAAAAGATGGGCAAGTAAATGGAAATAATTAATCTAAGTTAAATTAAAGTAATTAGGAACAATGACGAGAAGATAACGGTCAAAAATTTATAAATTATAAATGTTATGTCGGTTTTTTTTTAATTTAACTGATTTTAATAAAAGTGTGTTCTAGCCTATCAGTTCCTATTTTGATTTTTACTCAAAATCACTTAAATTGATTTAATTAATTGAATAATAAATAGTCGATTTTTTATTGGTTGGTGACACTAGGGAAGGCTTAGAATACAAATTCAACTTTTAAAACGGAATTAAAAAAATAATATTAATAATAATATAAACGTTTTTTATTTGTTTGGTAGCCTAACATTGTTTTGTACATTTTTATGTTGGCTGTTTTGTTTTATATTAATAACAGTAATTGTAATTAAAAAAAAAAAGTCAGATAATCGCATAAAAATTTTTTTTTTCTTTTTTTGTTTCCTAATTTATAATAAGCAACATTAATGCAATTACAAAAGCTTAGCCCAAAATTCAAAAATTATTATATATATAATTAATTATATTTAATGTTATATAAATATATGATTTAGGGTAGGGAATAATTTAATTTAACTCTGCTTATTTCTAGTGCCATTGATAAATAATTGTATTTTTATTAGATTTGTTTAATTAAACCATATGCGCAGCGTATAAAGACAAACATATTTTATACAATTTGTAATTTAACTCAATTTTTATTATTTAATTAACTGAAAAAAGCTAAGTTTCAATGGTTAATTTACAAGCTATGTTGAAACTAAAAAAAAATAAATCTTTTTAATTTAACTTTAACTTTTTGACTAGTTAATGGTTACCTTAGACTAAATGTCATTATTAGGCTTTATTATTAATAAAACCTACCAAGAGTGTATAAATATTTACTTGAACTTTTGACTTGACAAAAAAATTGAAAGTTAAGTAGTAAATTCTTAAATTATTTTTCTATTTATATCTTTTAATTCTAATTATTATTTTTTTTACACTCTGTTTTTTAAATACCTTTACTAATTAAAACTTCTAGTGTAAGTATTAATAACTGATTCCAATATTGATGAGCTCATCTAAATTAAATTAAGTACCTAAACAATCTATTGATTTCATAATTTGAATTAATTTTGATTGGAAACTACAAATCTAGAATATATATTTATTAAATTTTTACGAAAAAAGTAAATTGGTATGAATAAATCAATTAATAAAAACAAGTTTGATTAGATTATTGATAATCCTTAATTGGCAAGTTTGCGTTAAAATTCTCGTTTTTGTTAATGTTCAATCCTTCTTTTTCCTACTGATTCAGTCACAAAATGTCGTTGAACTGTCGTGGTTCAATGTTTCTTACAAACATTCTGTTTTTAGATAAGTCACCAAGTAAATACCGAAAAAGTGCGTTATAACGATATTCTTTATTTTAACTATAAAAATAAATGTTTATTGTAGGGAATATGCGTCAATAATGTTATTTCCTGGAAAGTGGTTCAAATTATTTATAATATAATAAATAAAATAACCCATGTTGACGATTGTAGTAAGTTTTTTTATAGACATTTGAATAAAGTATAATTTTTTAATTTTGTAATTTTATTGTTTTTCATTTTTAGTAATAGTACACGGGGCTAACAAAGGGAGTTTTGTATTCCTAGCAAATTTAGTTAGTTGAATTGGACTGGTTACAAAAGGTACTAAAAAGAGATAATCTTTATAAAAATTGTTTTTTGACTCAAATAATAAATTTTCGTTTTGAATCTATGGGCTGGATGTTTGAGCGAATTGTCATTATGATTGTCTTATAATCGTATAAAACGTCTTTGTCCCTTTCGACCTGAATTTCTACTTAGGTTTAAAAATGTTTATATGCATTGCAGAGGTGTTAAAGTTAATTAAAATGAATTATTATTTAGTTTATTAATAATCATACAATATTAAAAAAAAATATCTGAGTAAAAACAAATAATTTTATATCCAAAAATAATTTGGTAAACATTTTTTAAATTGAAATACTCATAAAATATGTTTATATCATATCAATTATTAAATATTAATTGAAGCATAATTAATCTCTAATAGATTTTTGTAAAATGAATAATGTGAATTAATGAATTATTGATGATTAAAAATTACATTTATTAATTGATTGGTTTAAATTGAATATTATATAAATTATAGTATAAACTATATGATTATAAACAGTAATTAGGTTACAGAGTTCTAATAAAAAAATTGTTGGTGTAATAAATATGTATTAACAGCTGCGTGTAAAAAGATAAAAACTTTTCTTTTAATTTTATACAGTGTAATCGATAATCGATAATCGACAGTGTAATCGATTAATGGTAGGACATTTATTTTCTTAGAAACTATTGAAAATTTAAAATTATCGTAAAGGAAAAAAATGTTAATACAAAAACTTCCATAATATGTAGTTTAATAATTTTTTTTGACCTCTTATCAAATCAATTTAAAAATTTTTTTCCATTTAAAAAAATTATAACTTAGGTATTTTATCCATAAAGGAATGAAAAAAAAATTAATTTCTACCTTTGTTGACAAATTTATCTCAACAATTATCGATAACCATTTTGTGATTTTTATGAACATCTTTATCTAGTATTTTAGAGCAAATTTTGGTTTTTAATAGAAGTGCAAATCGCAGTTTTGGTTATGAAAATTGAAAAGTTTATTTACCTAATCTATTATCTATTATTTAACTATATTTTTTAATTATTCAACAAAAAATTCGTAGAATTTCTTACTAATTAAACAAGTAACGCGTTTTTCAGTGTAATAAAATATGTAACATTATTATTATAAAAGTTAATAATAGTAATAGAATATTTTTTTTTCTCGAAAATTACAAAATATTAATATAAATAATTAATTAACATTTTTCCTGTGAAAAATGATTAATATTTAATTCTATTTTAATAATATAACTTAACATTATATATTCATAACAAAAATGAACATTTTAGTTAGCAAAAAAACATTCATACCGAAGTTTAGACTCCATATCATAGTTAAAATTTATGGCAATACTATTGCACCTTCGGATCATTCGACCTAAAGGTCCATTAAAACTTTATAATTTAAAGTGAAACAAATCGTGGAATGTAGTTTTCGATATGGAAAAAATTATGATACACGCTAGATTACCAGTTAAAGAATTTCAGGACAATTGATTTTCATATTCATTATTATTTTTTATTGGAATTAAGGCGAGGAAAAATAAGAAGACTATTGTTCATTATTTAGGTGTGCAATTATTGTTCTAAAACCTTTGTCTGATTTCGTTAATTTTCTAAAAAAAATATCTGACGATGTTATATTATCATCTATAATGAATGACTTCTATTTAATCAATTTCTAGGTATCGTATTTTGAGAAAAAAGGTTGTGCTCGTTCAGAATATCGAAGAGTATATAGTAAAGTAAATAAATATTTTTCTTGGATAATGGAAAATTATAGGGATGGGTTATTTTGTAAAAGATAAAAACATTAAAAGATATATTTTTATGTATTTTTAATCAAATTTAACAAAATTACACAATTATTTTATATGTTATAATACTTTCTATATTATAATAAATTATTAAGTACACTGATTATATATTTTACCAAACACTATCATAGTGATTTCTTTTATATTATTCACATCACCGAACCCAACCATTATGACGTATAAACGAGTCTCTCTTAATACAAATAAAACCACTAATGACTAACTTACTTTTGTAACAAATTCAATATTCTTATAGCACACAGTTTTCTCTTTAAGCAGTCACCAACCAGAAAATTTAAATTCAAAATTAATAGAAACTTTATATGGTATCTTTTGTAATTCAGGTAATTTTTACAATTAAATAAGTATTCGTTGATAGTTCATGATTGTTGTTTTATAGACTTAATAATTAGAATAAAGTCTGATTTTGTAAACGAATTCTTTGCTATGTATTGAAACTTTCAGAAGTGGTTATATTCATGCTATAAATGACAAAGTTTGGGAATGTAGTTAGTAGAATAAAAATTTACTTATTTATTTAAACATTTCATTTTTATGACATCAAATTTTCAGTTTCATTAATTTTATTAATCAGGTTAAACTATATTGACATTATTGTTAAATTACGTTCATTAATTAGTTTAATATATCATAGTTTAATGATTTTAAATTCGTAAAAAAAACGTGTTTTATAATTTTGTGGCGAGTAAAAAAATTTTGCATGATAAAGTGAGTGTTCATGTTTGTTATTACTGTGTCGTCAAATGATCAGAACGATACCGTTAAATTCAGCCGCAGTTGGTCCAGGTCACAGTCATGACACTGAATCTTCAAGGTTCACGGCTTTTTGTTGGATTATTACTACTTATGTTAAATACACAACAGGTAAATTAGGTTATAAATATTATAATATTCTACATTATATATCGACTTTTTTTAGGGAAATGGCTTCAAAAACATTTCAATGGGTTTTGGATTCCGTAAACCTATATTACAAACTTTCACCGATTGGTTTACAGGAAAAAATCAATGTGACTGTAGTAAGTTCATAAATTAGTAGTAGATATTGTTACATAAATATAATTTTTTGCAATTTACTATGTATCGAACTATAAATTTTAACGTTTATATATTTTTTTCTTGTATTTTCATACAACATATTTTTTTATACAAAAATTAAATACATTAATATTGAATAAGATATTACGATTTTGACCGTCTTAAAGTCTCGTAGTAATTTAATATTACACAAATAGTTGACATTTATTAATTTAAATTAAAGCTTAAGTTCATTGAAATTAATATTATAGTAAGTTTGATAGTGGAATTTGTTGATATGAGTCCATTAAATGACAACGTCTAAGCACTGTAATAATTTTTAAGAGGGGCCTATTTAATAATTCGCTAGAGAGAGTGTTGAGACAAAAAACACGAGCTTAACTAACTTCTTTTTGTCTTTGGACAGTGAAAAAGAAATAACTGAACTTAAAAACAAATCTTTTTTAAATTATTCGGTTGAAATATATTCTTTTGCATGTTTTTAAAAATATGCTAATAGTCTAACATAAAATGAAATGAAATAGTTTAGCTTATAAGAATAGAAAATATGATTAATATTATACAAATTTGACCGTCTAAGGCGCTCGCTTAGAATAATTATAATTTTTTGCAATACATAACAATTTATATTATATTTCATATATTTATTTTTTATTAAAATAGCTTGCGGAGTCCCAAGTTCTAATAGAAAAATCGTCGGAGGAGATCCAGCTGATGCTAATGAGTTTCCGTGGATGGTTCGTTTACACTACAGAAGCAAATTTATTTGTGGTGGCTCTTTAATCAACGATCGTTATGTGTTGACCGCGGCTCATTGTGTCAAAGGGTAATCAGACAATAGAAGTAACTCAGTGTCTTTTTTTTTCATAAAAATTAATTAAATTCCAGATTAATGTGGCCATTAATTAGAGTCACGTTCGGTGAACATGACTACTGTAATGCTACAAGTAAACCAGAGAGCAGATTTGTTTTACGGTCAATTATTGGCCAATTTAGTGTGTCAAACTTTCAAAATGATTTGGCCCTTTTAAGATTAAGTAGCCGAGTTTCCATTACTGCTACAATCAGACCTATTTGTTTACCTACAAGTTATTATAGATTATGTGTACTATAATATTATTGGATTAATCATATTTATTATTAATTAAGACACTTATTAAAGTAAAATATCTCAAAAATGTTTGTATTTATTTAAAGTTTTACGAACAGTGACACTGTAAGAGAAAATGTTTTCTTCTACAACGTCTTTATTTTTATACTTTATAACTTATTTGTATACTATTAAATTCATTAAAAAATGATGAAAAATTAATATCTAAAACACAAAAATTAAATAAATATAAATTTAAAATAAACTATTGTTTTAAATAAATGTTCTAGTATTTTATTTGACTTAATATTTAACTAATTACATTTTTACCTTTTTAATAGATGATAGCTATGATGATGTGATTGGAAAAGTTGCTGGATGGGGACAATTAAATGAAGATGGCAAAACTTCATGTATTTTAAGACAAGTGGATGTACCAATTATAACCAATGATAATTGTGGTAAAATAAACACAATAAATTCTATAACGGAAAATATGATGTGTGCAGGTTATGAGGAGGGTACTAAAGACTCTTGTCAAGGAGATAGTGGAGGGCCTCTTATGAGACGTATGGAGAATAAGCGATATGAAATCATTGGTAAGAAATCTTCATAGTAGGTGTTATTAAATTGTATTTTAAATCTTACTTTTTTATTATTATTATTCAACTAGAAAGCATAACTAATAAAAATTCAGGCAGGATATAAATCTGCAAGTTAATTCAACCAAAGATTATTAAAAATGTATTGTAAAACTTTTATTTTAATCTGAAAACACCAATCCTGTAAAGTTTTGAATTGAGCTTTAAACTGCGATTTTTTAAAATTATGTTTGTTAAAAAAAATTAGTTTTCATTTTTTATAAAATAATGAATATAATAATACTTTTAAAAATAATACTTTTTACTTTTAATTACTGTGTTTTTAATAAAACTAATAATGATTATTTCCATTAGAAAAAAATAAGATCGACTTTAACTTAATAGGTCTGCTATCTAACATTTCGCATATCAATAAACCATTTTTAAATTGAATGAATGTAATCATTTAATAAATTATTATTTTGGTTGAGTTGTTTTCTGTTTAAAATCAGTTAAATAATATTAGGTATTTCGAAAAAAGTTTCATTTGAACCTTAATTATTAAAAATATTTTTTATAGGAATAGTGTCTTGGGGACATGGATGTGCCCGGCCTGGATTTCCAGGAGTATACACTAGAGTGGTCAAATATTTATTATGGATAAATGAAAATTCAAGAGATGGATGTTTTTGTAAAGAATGAAATAAGTGTTATTTAATCAAGCAAAGACCAAATGTACATACTTATTATTTAAAATTTATCCTAATTAAATTTCACAAATATTAGGCTATTATAGTTGTATTTAATATCTAAAAGTACTTGTTTAAAATGATTAGACTTATATTTGATATAATAAAATTTTGAAAAACTTAATTTTCTTAAAAATACAGATTTTTCATTTCAAAAACGCTTAAAATATGTGTCAATATTATAAGTATGTGATTTTCGAGAGTATTTTTTTTTTTATGTTATATTTATTTTATACAAAAAAAAAAAAGGCTAACTTAGAAATTTATCAAAAAGTTTCTTAATTATTATAACAATAATTTTAGTATTTGATTATTTAAATTTTTTATATACTTTTAAATAATTTTTTTGTTTACAATATTTTGATTTATAAGTATTCTAAATAAAGAATGTCGTTGGCCTTAATAAAACTAAGTAGTTATGTATCTAATAATAGATTGGCTTGTTTATAAAAAATACATTTTGTCAATTTATTTATTTATTTTCTAATTATTACTAATGATAAAGTGTAGTAACTTCTAGTTTTTATCAATTAATATTATACTTATAAATTATTTTGGCTCGATAGTATAACAGTAAATACCAAACCCTTTAGTTGTTGTATACGAGAAGCATTCATTATCAGTATTATACAACACAAAAATCTTTGGAATTTATAATAACAAACAGTATGAAATCGTATAAAATAATTATTAGTAGAAACATATGTGAGTATTAATATTTAATTAGTCACTTGTTGTTATGCAAGGGAAACACGTTATGTCGGTTCACCGGTCAACTAAAAATTGGCATGATACAAAAGTAGATTCTAGTTTGTTATGCCCAAGTCGTACCTACAATATAAATGTTCTCGACGATTTTTAATACCGTTAAGCTAACCTGCTGTTACTTGGGCTCGCAGTCATGACACTGAATCGCCAAGGTTCGCGGCTTCTTGCCGGGTTATTGCTACTGGCTTTTTTAGCTCTACAAGTAATTAGATAAACACTTGGGATTTATTTTTGTTATACTTACTTAAAAATTAATTCTTATTATAGGGAAATGCATTTAAAAAGATTACAACTGATTTCGGGTTCCGCAGACCCATACCTCAAGGCATTACTGAGATGTTCTCGAAAAAAACTGAAGAATGTGACTGTAGTGAGTACAATGATTCTATGACCTTTAATTATGTAATTGCTCAAAATATTTTATAATTGTATGGTCCTGTATTATAGTTTTTAAGAGAACTTTTATTAAAACTTAGTGTAGTGTGAGTAGAAAAAACGAACGTAAAATTGTAAAGGTTTTTCTGATCTTGCTTTAAAAGATGTATGTTCTCCAAATAATTATTTAATAGTTTTTGAAGATAAGCATAGATCTATTTTCATTAGAAGTTTATGTCTAATGATATCAATTTTTAATTTTTATTTTATTTATTACCTTTTTAATTATGCTTTATTATTCATTATTATTGGTATAGTAACCTAATTTCTTTTTATATTTGTTTAATAATATACTTTTAGTGTAATTTTAAATATTGCTTACACTCACTTGCGTTTAAAATATCAATAAATAAAAGTATTTACTATAACGACCAGACAAGGTCGTTATTTTAAATAAGATTTACTTTTTTATAGTAGAAAACAATTGCTATACATAGAGGTACAACTAGCAGATATGTGATTATTTTTCATAAAATAATATTACAGGAAAATAGTAGGTTTATCTGAATTTTCACAAAAAATTAATCTATTTATCTCTAATAAAATATTTACTTGTGCGTATGATGAAATGAGTACTGCAGTTTGTATTTTCTTGTTGTTCTTTAATATACTGATTTAAAATTCCTGAAATAGGCTTGTGCACCTGTTTTGTATACAAAACCATCGTTAAATGATAATAATCTCAAAAATATTTTATTCTTTAAAATGATACTTTTTTTAATTTTGATGATTTCAAATGGTGGATTATTAGTATTCATGTACATTTAGTATGTATTTTATATAATAAAAATAACATGCTTTGAAATAATAGCCGAAAACATTTATTATAACTCACAGAAATCTTAAAATTTATATTCATATAACTTGATTTCTTAACTATATTAAATTTAAATGTTGAATAAATTTCTCAAATTTTGATGTTATCTTAATATTATTTTTGATTTAACAGGTTGCGGAGTTCCAAATTCAGATACTAAAATTGTAGGAGGTGATCCAGCTGACGTACATGAATTCCCCTGGATGGTTCGTTTGTCATATTTTAATCGTTTCTATTGCGGTGGTACTCTCATCAATGATCGATACGTGTTGACCGCAGCTCATTGTGTCAGAGGGTAAATTAAATATAAAAACACAATTTTACATGTTATAAAGTAATATATTTACTTTCAGATTTTTTTGGCCTTTAATTAAAGTTACATTTGGTGAGCATGATTATTGTAATTCAACTAGAAAACCAGAGACAAGATTTGTTTTAAGATCAATTGTTGGTGATTTCAGCTATTTGAATTTTCATAATGACTTGGCTCTTTTAAGATTAAATGATCGTATTCCACTAACAGTGTCAATAAGACCTATATGTTTGCCAACTAACGAAAGTATAGTTATTTTATTTCTAACGAAAAATAATATTTAGTAATAATAAATCTGCAGTATAGTTGTTGATAAAAACGATAGATACTAGTTTTGTTCAATAAAAAATATAATATCTTGATAACAGGCGACACTTACGTCGGAACCATTGGAAAGACAGCAGGTTGGGGGACTCTATACGAAAATGGTTCACCCTCGTGTGTATTAAGACATGTCGATGTTCCTGTTGTTGACAACGAGTCATGTGGTGCGATGAATTACACAAATGGTCTAATAACAGAGAATATGATATGTGCGGGTCATGAGTTGGGTATGAAAGACTCTTGTCAAGGAGACAGTGGTGGACCATTGATGAGACTTACAGAAAATAAGCGATTTGAAATTATTGGTAATAAATAAAAATACAGTATTTTATATTCCTACATAATTATCTATTCCTTTTATTCTTAAATATTTAATAATTTAAATATGTTGAGTATAATGTTATGTAAATTTGTTTATTGGAAAAAAATACCATATTATTTTAAACACCAAACAAAATAAATTTATGGAATATAAAACTTAATTAAAGTAATCTTATAATAATGCCTGGCGTAATTTTTGGATAATAATTAGTTTAGACAATAATGTAAATGTTCATTAATTAATTCTGAAATTAAAAATACATTTAAAATTTATAAATTGTTTACAATTTTAATCGGGTTATTTTATAATTGCTTAATAAATCAAATGTTATAATTATATAATCCAATTAACAAAAATACTTTCACACGGTAGGTATCGTTTCTTGGGGACATGGATGTGCCCGGCCTGGATACCCCGGAGTATATACCAGAGTGATCAAATATTTGTCATGGATTAAAGAACACTCAAAAGATGGTTGTTTTTGTAAACAATAATATTTTAGTGAAACTGTTAATTTATTGAGTAAATGTTTTACTTTTTCAAAGAAAAAAATTGTTTATATTTTGACTGTTATAATTATAAGAATCGTTGTGAAAATTCTTTTCAATAAAATAAATGTATTTTAAAATTTTTTATTCGTTGAAATTTTTTTTTTAAAATTTTAAAATTATGTTTTACGCTGATAAATATTATTAATTTGTCAATTTATATAATAATTAATATACTATTCTTATCTTTCAATTGATAGGAACAGTAGACTATGCTTTCATAACAAAAAATCTCGGTCAAATGACATTTCATTAAATTCATTAAAAATTTTAAAAGTTTATTGTCTAACTTTACTAAATACTATATGGCTAAGTGACTTACAAAATGAATTACTTTTTTTGCAAATTCATTACACCTTATAAATAAATCGTGTAAATATTAAATTTAAAATTAAATTTTTTATTTAAAAGTGATATTGCGTTGAATATGTTATTAAATGAATAAATGAAACATTTCGTTAAAATTTTCCCACATTTAAATATTTTATAATATCACTTTATTTAGTACAAGATCTAAAAAAAAAATTATNTATTAAATTAATAAATGAAACATTTCGTTAAAATTTTCCCACATTTAAATATTTTATAATATCACTTTATTTAGTACAAGATCTAAAAAAAAAATTATTATAGTGGTGTCCGACAAGGTTTCAATATCTTTAATAACTTTTGATCTAGTAAATATTTTGTGTTAATTATTTTTAAATAATTTTTACAATTATTTTTAAGTTAAAGACATAGTATAATTTGAATAAAATTTACCAATTATCCAATTTTATGTTGTCGAGTTTACAAATGCTTTAGAGTTATATTTAAAAGTAACCAAATTTATACTTGATTGCCTAATCTAGTCTATTTTACAGTAATTAAATTTAGAATTTTTTTCGACTGGGAATTTTTTGATTGTAGCATTATACTAAATTTATCATGAGGGCTATTAGTATTGGAATAACAAATAAAATATTAAGTAGCCATAGAAATACAAAGACATAGAAATGTAAAAACACTAAAAAGCCATAGCAATAAAAAAAACTCATAGAAATACAGAAACAATAAGAAGCTATAAAAATGAAATACTCAAAGTGCTGAGTTTAGCATCAATTAAGTGACGTGCTCTAGCTGCAACTCCAACACCTACCCCTACCAGCCGACTCACATTGTCGGACTGCAATCTTCCTCCCTTTCTTTCCCAAACTATGTACTAATAGGTTAAGGCAAAAATTGTATTATTAGAGTTTTTTCGTTTGAGATTTGAAGTGAGTTTGGCTTTATTGTGTAGTTTTTTGTTAAATGTAAGAAAAGATCTACTAAAAAAAATTCATATTTTTTAAATTGTTTTATTTGAGAAGCTAAATTTTAGTATATTGTGTATAGGAGTTATTTAATTACTATACTTTGTGTTGGTCTTATATAATTTTTTTCAGGTGTTTGCACCTATCATTCATCTGCGTTTCTGTGAATTATTTATTGTTTATATTATTAATTGTGTTACTATTCCTTGTAAAAAATACAAAATGGAGTGTGCGCGAAGTCGGCATTTTAAATATCGTGTTTTGAGTTAAACACTGTGGCCTTATGTAGACATCATTCTCTTTGTATTCCTAGTCGCTCGTAACTCACAGTTATCATTTCGCCAAAGTTCTTATACATTATCTTATTAGTAAATTTTTATATTCGATGCAAAGCTGAGAAGGTATTAATTTTACTATGATGTGTTTTTTTTTATTATTACGTTAATGTTTGTCACCACTTTTTCTCAGTATTCATCGGACCAATTTTTTTTAATGATACATCACAAATCGTATCAAGTTGAAGACATGGCCCTTAAAAATTAAAAAATATTCTCATATTCCCTCTAAATGGGGTAAATCTCCAAAATAATTACAAATTTTTAGAATTAATAAATTTTGACTATTTTTTCTTTCTTAAAACTGCCATAATTTTTTTAAAAATAAACAAATCAAAATAATTTTTTTTATATAAAATCTTTAAATACTTTTTTTTCATTTGATACAATTTTTTTGAAAATTTAACCCTTTACCTGCTCACAGGGGCAGATTCAAAAAAGCTATGTTTGCACATAAATTTAATTTTCGATAATGTTCCGGAAATACTGCGTCTTTTAAACATATGTTAAATTAGAACTTATGTTACGAACTATAAAAAAAACTTTTTCTCAAAGAAAACTTTTTCTAGTGTTTAAAATCAAAATTGACTTCTAGTTTTTTCCAAATTCGACGGCCATTTGCACATAGAAGATAAGTCGTCGGGACAATTTCTTTTTTAACTTATAGTACGTAACTTAAGCTTTAATTTAACATATATATAAAAGACGCAATATTTCCAGAACATTTTCAGAAATTAAGTTGAAAAAATTAATTTTTGTGAAGAAGTTGCCATTTTGAATTCGCTACTGTAGTGGACACGTAAATAGTTAGGTTCTGAAAAAATTTATATCAAATGAAAGGAAAATACCTAAGGTTTCTATATAAAAAAAAAAATGTTTGATTTGTTCATTTTTGATAAAATTATGACAGTTTCAGAAAAAAAAATGTCAAAATTTACCAAATTTAAAAATGAGGGAAATTTTTAAAATTTTCAAGGGCAATGTCTTCAACTAGATAAATTTTGTGATCATTTGACGTATGTTTATAAAGAAACCGGTCGGATGAGAGCTGAGAAAATGTGGCAATAGACATAAGAAAAAAAGAATAACACATCATAGTAAAATTAATACCTTCCAGCTTCGCATCGAAGATAAAACTTGTAATCAGGATATAAATAAGGATATAGGAGTTCATTTTTCTTATAGAATAATCCACCAATTAATTAAAATTAAGCATTATCTACAGATTTGCATTAAATCGTTACTTATGATATTGATTTTAATCACTGTCAGATATCATCTATACTTGTCCCAACTATACAGTGTCGCGGCCGCACTGTACTATTGTATTTTGCTACTATACTATCAATTTAAAAATAAAGGTTCCTATTTAAGAAAATGAAAATTAAAAAAAATGATTTCTACTGTTTTATATTATTTTCTTAATGTTTTATTTTTCTCTTTACAAAAATTTTAAATGTGTAGTAGTTTCCAAATGAATGAAAGTCATATAGTATAATACGTAATCCAGTAAACGGTTGTGCGTGTACAAAGCACTCAACAAAAAAACACCAATGTATATATATATATATAAATAGTTAATTCGCTTTAACGATTTTTCGAACAACACTAATACTTATGGCACACAGCACAATTGAAGGCCATTCACGTCTCTATAAGGCGCAGGAGAAAATAACCGTAGTGATACAGACGACGAAACGTAAAAATAAAACAAAACCAAAAAGGCAGAAAAAAGATAGACACTGAGTCGAGCAACCAGTTAAGGTGTACGCCGGACACGGAACAGAACGCAATATCAGTAATCCATACTCGGCGGCGGCGGCGGCCTTATCTCAGTGTCAAGGGCGGGGAGACAACCGACTGTCATATTAATAGCTGGACGGTTGATAACGACAGAGACACAGGTGAGCTCCAGCCTAGAGCAAAAGGCGGTGCCGTGTCAAATATTTCGATCACTCTGTAGTTTTTATGTTTCTAGGTATTAAAATAACACAAGGTATTATACTAATCCCTTTATTAATATAAAATTATAATTTTCTATTTTGAAGGAATGAAATAATCCACCATGTGTCTTGGGTTCTCTTTCATGTCAATTGATGAATTCAGACTTACATGTTTTTTTCGTTTGAAAACAGTGTTTTTAAAATTTTCAATATTTTCAGTTTTGAATACATCCAAACCATCATTATTCCCTAGGTCGTAAACATCAAATTCATTAATGTTACTGCTAGTAACGCATTTATCATAATTACTGTTACAATTATCTATTGGATTATCTGTGCACAATATATCTGCAAATAATAAAAATGTCTAATTACTTTATTTATACGTCATTATATTAATTTAAATCATCATCGCAATAGGCTTATCTCAGCTAATCGGGATCATCTCATAACTTTGACAGAATTTTACACCAATTAAATTAGTTTTGATTATACTTTTAATTCATAAAATATTTTAGTTTTGTTGTATAAAGTTAAGAACCTATTAGTTTTACTCTGATTTTATATTTTACGATTACTCCACTCTTATTGGATTGATTTTTCCTAACAATCCGTCAAAAGATCACAGATGTAACTAGTTGAAGCATTCAGTGCCATATTTTTACCAATTTTCCCTTCAATTCTTAAATAAAAGAAAATATGCCAATAAATTACTTTTGTCATAAAACAGTCAATGTTGATATTTTTAGTTTTTACTTTATACTACTGTTTGTTAACTGGACGGGCTATTGCAATACGTATTTTAATACTATATGATAATGACATTAATACATAATGTCATAATAATACATAAGGGAAGCTATAAGTGTAATTATATTGAAAAAATTCCCTCTATCTCTGTAATAGAGGGAAATGTCCCGAAAAATTACAGATCTTTTAAAACAGTCAGTGTTGATATTTTTAGTTTTTTCTTTGTATTAAAATAACTTTTTGAAAACTAGATTATTTCAAAAATTTTAATGAAAATAAGTAATGTATTGTGTTTAAAAATCAAAAACAATTTTTTTTTAAGTTAAAAAATAATAATAATTTTCAATTATGTTACAAAAACATGCATTCTTTAAACCCNTTTTAAGTTAAAAAATAATAATAATTTTCAATTATGTTACAAAAACATGCATTCTTTAAACCCATATTAAATTTAAAATATAAAAAAAACCCAGTACAGTCGAATCGCGGCATAATGGAGACGTGGCACAGTTGGGTATAGTATACCCAATCTGACAGTGATTTAAATCACTATCATAAATACTCTTCGATACAAATCTGTAGACAGTCTTCAATTCTAAGAAATTGGTCGATTATTCCAGAGCAAAATTCTAACTCAAAAATAATTACGGAAAAATTGAAAAATAATCATTGCCACGGGCAATGATTTCCTTAATTATATTCCGATTAGTATATCTTAGATT